CTACTTCCAGTGCTTCTTCCTGATTTCTTCCTCCGCTGGGATGTGGTTTGTTCTCTCCCACAGTAGGTTGTTGCTAATAGTGTCTGGCCAACGGATCCGAAGTATTTTGCGTAGACAACTGTTAATAAACAACTGTATTTTCTGGAAGATGGCTTTCTTAGTTCTTTAGGTTTCCGCTTCATACTGTAGAACTGTCTTGACATTTGTGTGAAAATCGAAGAAGCTTCCATAGTGTTGTTCTGTCCACGCTATCAAATGTCTTTTCATAGTCAATGTAGTTGATGTAGATTGATGAATTCAATTCCATTGATTGTTCCACAATGATCCGTAGAGTTGCGCTTTGATCTGTACACGATCTATTCGTACGGTATCCTGCCTGTTAGTCACGATGTTGGGCGTCTACGCAGTCCTTCATCCTGTTTAACAATACCCTGTTGAAGGACTTTTTCCGGTATTGAGAGAAGAGAGATGCCCCTGGAGTTATTACACTTGCTGAGATCGCCTTTCGTCGGTATTTTGATCAGAAGTCCTTTCCAGTCTTTTGGTATTTGTTCCTCATCGCAAATATTATTGAAGAGAATGTGGAGTATACTTGCAGTTGCCACTACGTCTACTTTTAGTGCCTCTGCTGGAATGTTGTCTGGTCCCGCTGCTTTGCCACTCTTGATTTGTCTGATGGCCATTCTGATTTCTTCAATTGTTGGTGGGTCAACATCGATTGGGAGGTCCATGGGTGCTGCTTCGATATTGGTGGGTTTCAGTGGGACTGGTCGATTCAAGAGTTCTTTGAAGTGTTATATCCACCTGTTTCGTTGCTCTTCAATGTTGGTGATTATCTCGTCTTCCTTGCTTTTCCCTGGTCGTTCCGGTTTGCGGCAATTTCCAGAGAGTTTCTGTGTCGTGTCATACAATTGTCTCATGTTTCCTTCTCTTGCAGCCTTTTCCGCCGTCGTTACTAACTCTTCCACATATTTACGTTTGTCGGGTCCTGACATTCCTCTTCAGTTGCTTGTTTACTTCTGTGTATTCAGCTTGTGCCTTGGCTTTTTCTGCTCTTGTTCGGCTGGTATTGATTGCTGCTTTCTTGTTCCTCCTTTCTTGAATCTTACCCAGTGTATCAACAGTGATCCATTCCTTGTGATGGTGCTTCTTGTGACCCAGGACCTCATGACATGTTGAAGTGATTGCCTCTTTGATCCCCTTCCAGTTGCTCTCCACAGTAGTTCCTTCTCCATTGAGTAGATCATGAAAGGCCTGGAACTTGTTGCTGAGGACTATCTTGAATTTGTTGAGTTTGTCAGTATCCGGAAGAAAGGCCGTATTGAACATTTGTGATATTGTCCACCCCGTTGGCCAGTGCTTCTTGAGTTTCAATTTCATCTTGGCGACCAGCAAGTGATGATCTGATGCTATATCAGCTGCTCACTTGGTTCTCACGTCCTCTATAGTCCTCCTGAACATTTTGTTGATGCAAATATGGTCGATTTGGTTTTGTGTAGAGTGATCCGGTGAAGTCCATGTGGTTTTATGAATGCGTTTATGTGGGAATATGGTGCCACCTATGACCAGTTTATTGAAAGCATATAGGTTTGCAAATCTCTCACCATTTTCGTTCCTTTCTCCCAGTCCGTGTCGTCTCATGATGTCGTCAAATCCAGAGTTATCCACTCCAACCTTGGCATTGAAATCTCCCATCAGAATAGTCAGATCCTTTGTTGGGCACTTCTCGACGATTGACTGCAGCCTATTGTAGAATTGATCTTTAGCGTCTTAAGAGTTTAAGTTTCACTCAAACTAATAACCAGATAGTTTTAGGTGACAACAATTCCTGTAATTAATATACTAGAAATGTTTATTGAAGTCATACAATTTAATTGTTTACCTGAAAGATTATTTTCATCATAAACTACTAGTACATAGTTCTGACAAACAGGTTTAATATATTAGTTCGTTTTATATCACTATCCAAGGAAATATTGAATTTGCCTGTCATATTTGTTCAATTTTTTTCCATTCTCTTTCTTTCCATTTCTCCGTATTATACAGGAACATATGATGCGTATAGAAGAACGTAAACAAACTATCTCATATCAATTAGAATCAAAAATTGATGATTTGTTAACACATTGGCGTCTACGTGTTGGTCTTCCTATTCCTAAAGTAGTAAGTTATTAAATTTACATGAATTATGTCTCCAGCGATGTCTAAATGCTAGATGATATTGTTTATAGTCACACCATGTATGGTTACGGTAAGACTATAATTTATGGACGACACTAAAGTGACCTTGAAAATATCCACCTACTTACTGGGGCTAAATGACGGTTATAAACCAATAGTTCACAGTTGATGGCGTTTGTATTAGGAATTAGATTTAGGGTTTTCATCACGAACTGACATCAGCTAACATGTCAAAACGCTATTTAGTCAAATTAGTGGATGAATTTCACGCTAATATCCAAGACCTGTTATTCTAAATCTGATTATTTCCCCCCATAGATTATAGTCTTTCCATCTTGGATGTTTAATCTCTTTTTCTGTGTTACTATTTAAAGCTGTGAATACTGAGTTTGAGTCTCAGTGTTGACATCAAAACAAAGGTAAAGACATGTACAATTAATGATCTCCGCATTGGACAAAACATGCATCCGAGATTCTACCGTTAGCCACTACTTAAATATTTTAAATTATGTGTATCACAAGTTCCATTCTTAATAACCAATTAATTATTAACAATCACATCACTCAGGTCCTTATTAAGTCAATAAGAATCTGGATGATTAACAATGGTATTTGTTGTCAACGTACTTTATCCAATGTTATCTGTTGATCATTACCATTTTCATCGATACCTGATCATATTGATTATTTGTTTTTGTGAAGATTTATTGATTATTTAACTAATTCGTAACAACAACCTGCTGTAAGTTTATTCACTTCATGTAATACACTTTAAAAAAACACTTATCGTTTTAATTAATTTAGTCTTGTTTACTTCAATTGAACATGATCGATTTATTTTCTGATAGATTGGAAAACAAAATCATATAAAGAAGCTGAAGAACGTCCTGTTGTACTACGTCGACCTCGTCATCTACTTCAATCATTACGCGGTGATTCGGTTAATTGTAAACCGACAACTAATTGGCGTTTATTTTTCTATCAATTTCAGCAGGATCATGCTAAAGCTGATTTAATTTGGACTATACGAGTAAGTTTTTATCACTATGGTGGAGAACGAGTTATATCTTTATATTCTGTTAATATTTTGTTCGAGTCAGATAAATTATGCAAACTAAGCTGTGTTTTGGCCAATATTACCGGAAGACATCATAGTACGATTTGTCAATAGGGAGGAGGTTATGGAAGCTGTTGAATTTAATTGAAATCATGGACCGATCTAACTTGAACAACCACTGAAAACCTGACATCTCTGTACAGCTGTTTCATCTTAGCATGGGACTCCTCAGTATTGTACAAACATGATCCCTCAACCGGAAATCGGATCCATGATCTTCCGTCTTGTGCCTGAACACTTGACCTTTAGACCATTAATCTAAGTATCTAATGGTGTTTAAGTCTAACGGGCAATATTGCGAATTGATTAAAGTTAGATTTGGACAACACTGGATCGCGTTTTAGTAGTCTAGAGGCACTATGCCGAACGTCCTGGGTTGTAGGATCGTGGGTACGCAGTGCTGAGTATTCCCAAATTAATATGAACCAGCCGTCCTATTACTTGGAGGTTTTTAATCGTTGTCTAACTTATATGGTTTCTTGGTTTCAATAGTGCTACTTATTTGGTGGTAGACGGACAGAGGCATTTGTGAAGAACCAACGGTTGTTAATTTTGCTCTGACTGCCAGTTATTGGCAGAGCTAATTAATACTTTTTAGGTAACTGATACTGTGCATAAATTGTAGCAAGTTTCAACCAGTGACGTAGTATGAGAAATGACCCACCATTGGTTTCACGAGTCACATCTAATGGCAGACAAATAATACCTTTCTGACGAATCCAAAGCAGTAGAAAGCCAAGAGCTCCCGAGTTTTCTGCTAATCACTTTTAATTACCAAAAGCTCAAAGAATGGAATTGATATTGTCACTTACTTCCACCTACGTTTTATACTATACTTGAATGGATCCGTAATTAATCAACAATAATTCAGGGATGGCAAAACGTATATAAACGACTTATACATTAAATCAAAGCCTATAAATAATAAACTAGTATGAAAATGTCATGAACTACATGAATTACATGTTAAAAGTGGGTCAGTTAATTCAACATAGAATAGTTCTGTAAGCTCCATATGACTTCATATCTAATCCGTTTCAATGCCTTTTTTTCTGAGCATTAATTATAGTATCAGTCATAAGAGTCTTTTGATTTGATTTGACCTACTTCGAAATCGGTTTATAATCTTCAAGAGAATCACAGGTTCATTTTAATTTCCATATTCAAATCGGTTAAGCTATTGAGGGGCATAATAACAGGGTTGTTATCGCCTTCTATAACCTTATCCCGTCTAGTAGGTTATAGTTAGTAAGCATATTGTATTCATCTTATATTCTCGACTTTTACTTCGTAGATACTATCCTGCTTGAAGTGGTTACGGATACCTATGTCAGCTTCGGACATTAGAAGTCCATCACCATAACTGATTGTCCCATTTCAAATTCTCTCGACAATCTGCTTTGTGGTTTCTTATATCGGTATTCCATTTTTTTGAAAATTGTGAGGGGCTGGTTTAGGAATTTGGTCTTATTAATGATGTGTAAACAGTGGTACATGACGTTTTGAACGAAGCACCGGTTCACTTATCCGATTATACAACACCCTAACCTGTTCTAGAACAGACTTGGATGTTTTGCAAAAAGATCTGCTATTGTTAACACAGGATTTCTGTTCAGTCGTTGCTCATAATCATTTGAGATGATGAAGAATAATCGTAGATCAGGATGATGTGTTTGTTGTTGGAGAAAGGCGCTGAAAAACGTCATGATTAAACCAGTCAGCACCTCATGTTCAAAATCGCGATCACTTATTGTCAGTCAAGTTTCGTCATTGATTATGCCATAGTCATTGGTCTGATAAGAGTTTAGCGTTCTCATACTTAATGGAATATGTTATCCAGTCAAACATATATAAATTATAACTTCAGTTATATATTGCACATTTATTATTTTTTAAGCTTGACCAATGTATCAATTAATTCAAAGTATCATATATCAAACAATTTTATGGATTTTTCATTTCTCAATTCTTAAAAAAAAACATAAATTACCCTACGTATCAGGGCTCAGTAGCTAAGTGGATAATGCGATGGCGTTTGAAACGAACGGTACTGAGTTCGAGTCCCAGAGTGAACATGAACTCTAAGGTCCAGGTACATCCAGCTGACGAGTCCCAAACAGGGCGAAACGCGCGTCCTGTATTCCACTGCTAACCACTATCCATCTTTGCTTATTATGCTTGTAAATTAAGGCAATATCGTGGCATACGCACAGTATGCACATATGCCAATAATAGACTGATCAATTTCAGTCCTAAAACATCAATGAGAAGATTCAAGTAAAACAATATCAAATGAATTACCTTACGTGTAAAAAACCGTCATGAATAGTTTAGTGATTGAGTTTTTAGACAACAAGTGAGAAAATGTTATCTTTAAATGTAGCCACTTCCAGAGTAGGACTATAGCACCCGACGATAACATTATTTGTGCTTCATATTATCATCGCAAATGTTCTGTCGATAGGAATTAGAATTAGCATACTTGCCGTGGGAGTTAAAGTTTCTGAGTTGAATATCTTCTGAAGATTGTCTTTAAGCTTCATATGAATATCTCTTCATAATCAAACAACAAACAATCCACTAACACACCATCGATAATAATAAAAACAGTTATCATATTGTATCGCTTTCAATGAATGAATATAGAGGATCCACCTAAGGGAGTTGGAAAACCCTGATTCCAAATCTATGGTGCACATGAGTTTCAAAATCCTGAAGGAACAAATGGCGTATGAAGCTGTTGTTGGTCACCGGCTATCATAGGACAGAATCTCTAGACGTTGCTTCACTACATTATGGATTAGACTTTCAGGTCAAAAGCTCAGGATGTCACCTAAGTAAACCACCTGCTTCGGTTTGGCCACGTGAACAGTATTCTGGGCCTCAAACAAATCAACTGACGAAATGTGGCACATATATATTTGTACGAAAGTTTGTGTTTAAATACCTTAATCGTTTTCAATAATCGTAACTGAGTGTTCACAACATTTAATGTCTATTCACATGGTTTTAGATTACAATGTATACTTCATCTATCTGTACTCTTTTATTCATCAATTTTATTGAATGAGTTTATAGTGATTATTCTAGTTGTAATTTGATTTCTATAAAAATAGACAAGAAATGAATTACGTGAATCAATGGAGAAAGAATTACAAGAATTTCAACAAGAACGTAATTATTTTGCACAAAGTCGTTTAGAAGAATCAGATCTACCAGATTTTGATCGATCTGAACCAATTGGTACTGGTCAAGCTGAACGTATATTTCCAATTGGTTTAACTAGTAAAGCTCAAAGTACACCAAATATCTGTAATAATAATAATAATAATAATAATAATAATAATAATAATAATAATAATAATAATAATAATAATAATAATAATAATAATAATAATAATGGGACAATGAATGAACATTCACAATTATCCACAATGGATCATCTTCAATCTACTATAGAAACTAATCAATTTGATAAACATGATGATAAAGAGATTAAATTGAATTCATCGAAAATACAAAATTCTAATGATCATAATGATACACAAACTTTATCAAGATCATCAAATCTTAATAGAAGAACACGAACATCAGTTAGTCCAACTAGAATACAAGCGGATCATTTAATTAATCAGGTATATCTATGTATAGATTTAGATTTTATATAAATTTGTTATAAATTACTTCATGGTAATAATCATATAAAGAATTTTTTATAGTCTGAAATATTAGCTTAGTGATTAGGAAATTCTTATAACTTGTGGCCTGTATACTCTGTTAATGTATATGTATACCACCAATTATCGATCGGATCAATGATGCGTAAAACCCGTATGAATAGTTTAAAGTCTTTATAGGTCATTCTCCTTGCCTAACTCTACCTGTTAAGTCCAGAACACCAATCTCAACCTCTGCAATATAAATCATGTATTTCAAGCATACTGAGTTTACATATCAACCAGACAGACTACATCACACCATAAAATAGGAAACAACATTTGTAAAAGATTTGGCCAAATGTGGCTGTGAATGTGGGAGGTAGTAGTTAATAGACAGGGTATAATTCAAGAACGGTAAATCGTATAATACTAGTTCATAGGTCAAAGTAAAGCTTACGATAAGGGGAACACGGATATGGATAGTTTAGTTACCTAACAACTATAAAATACAAAATATATGCATAGTATTGGTCCATAAATGGATCCCCAAAGTTACCATTCATTATGCTTATCGGGACGTAACAGGAATAATATTGACAAGCATCAGCGGACTAGAGTCTAGTAATCTTTATCATATATTCAAGGCTCTAATACAGATTATGATTATATCAACATTGTCTATTGTGAAGTCTACATCATTAGACTTGATCATAGATCAGTTTAACAGTTGAATACTTTATAAATTGGCACTGTATTTTGATTTAGTTTACCTCGATGCTAACCAACTCACAGTGGTGAAGCATGGATATGTAGATCACTTTCATAAATAAAGGTCCATTTCATTTTTGTTTTGGACTATGTATCATCGTTTTTCCACTATTATTTCATTAACTGATATCTTTTTAACCCCTGTCAACTTATTGATTTTTTGCGTCACTATCTAATGTTATTCATCGCCTTTACCGTTTACATTATACGCTATCAATGCTCATAATCATTATGTCAACTTTATCAATACACGTTTAAATTACCTTAGCTCACTGTGTGTTTCGAGTTCACTGAATTGATTTACCGTACATAATATTTATTTGATATACGCTACCGGAACCCAATAGTCTCTACCGACTTGTTAATATGAGTTATCGATATTATAATGCGAAACTATAAATTGTTACCATGCTCTGCTCTTCATTAAAGGGGTTGAAAGTATTTTACATAGTTGTACTTTCGTACTTACTATTTCTTTTTTAATTCTATAGTTTCACGTAAATTGATTTCCTCTATTTGTTTGTTTACTCTCAATGATTTTATGATAGGCAAGTCTTGTTTCATGGAATTATAGAGAATTTAAAGTGAATTATCCAAGTTTAATCGAAGAACCACGTGTTGGCAACTATTTTTTACGTTTATTACTTGAAGAAGATCGACATGTGAATGAAGTAATTGATGCAACTACATTGACTAATGCAAATTCAACTAATGTGTTATCTATGGGTCTATCACGTATTCGTGATAGGTAAGTAAATAAATGTTTATGATACCGTTTATAGAGATTAGTGGAGATATTTTTGTTACATCATGAACTAACTTGAGCTCAAACACTAGTGAAACCCAATGATGAATGAATAGCAGTTTCATCCTATTGCAGATCTCCTCAACAGTGTCCATTCACGATTCCGTCAGTCATTCGATCTAAAAGATTCAGACTTCGTGTTTAGTGAGTTTCCCAATCATAGTCTTGTACTCACAACAGATCAACCCAACGGAAAACTATCAAAGTTTTAATGTAAAACCACCACTATTGGAGTTCAACTGTGTCAGGAGTGACACAGATGACGTCGATAGCAATAACTGGTCGTTCTGTAACATTGAGGGTTTAATCACAGAAATTTGGAATCGTTGAGCCTAAAGGGGTTAGATCTCTAGTCGACATGTGTATGCGTCCCTTCCAAAGAGTCTGATATTAGTTTTGAAACAGTTGTTCAATTACTCCTTGTTTTCAGTTATTGTCGAACCGAAGTCAGTTTTCGATATAAATTGTTTTCAAATAAATATAATTCATAAAACTGAAATTAAACAAGGAATATTCAACATCGACCTAAAGGTCTGATCCACAAGGCAGTGGGGCAACATCAGGAGATGCAGTCCCATGGTAGCCGGTGATCTACGGTTAGTTTATACATCATTTATTCCTTCAGGATACTGGGGATCATGTGCATCATTGGTTTGGAATGAGGGTTTTCCGACTCCCTTAGTTAAAATCTCCGTGTCCCCTAACCCGGTTAAAGCCCCTACCGGACATTCGCTTTTCGTCCTCTCAATTTCGTAAACAACACCCCCGCCACGAGAAGGCAATGAGTAAGGCTTCCCTGGCAGAGTGATCTTATGAATGCTAGGTCAATCGAGACAAGACGATGGACATTCGAATATAATGCTACCACGTCTAGAGATGATCAAAATACGATATGACATTAACCAATGGAATCATTGAATATTTAACAAAAATATGTTGATTATTACAGTTTTTATGTTTATTTCACTGTGATGTAATGGAAATGGTAGATTTGCACGTGTATTCTATATATCTTTTAATAAAACTGATCGATCTGATTTAGTCTTGCTTAATTAGTTACCATTTTAAGCTTATGATTTGTTACTATGTCCTTGTTCGTGTACATTATTTTCACCTTATAGTACTGCATTTTTCAATGAATTATTTCGACGTTACCTTCAATATGTTGCATCGGATCCATATTATTCCATTAATGATAATTCTATTAAACGTTATACAACTGATTGTAACAATTTAACACCCAATACATTACGTCGTCTTACAATGCGTTGTTTATGCTTACATGCTATGTCAGTTGTATATCACCGATGTCATCATGAGATTGGTCCAATTACAGATATTCCATTACTTACTTATTTATTAGATCGTACAACATTTGCATCTGAAAGAGATTGTCTTCTTTTACTATTGGATAAATTAATGTTGAATAAGGTATGTTATTCTTGTAAATATGCTTCTCTTATAAAGATTACTTACTTACTTATGCCTGTCACTCCTAATGGAGCATAGGCCGCAGACCAGCATTCTCCAACCCACTCTGTCCTGGACCTTCTCTTCTAATTCCATCCAATTCTTGTTCATTTTTCTCATGTCGATCTCCATTTCTCGGCGTAATGTGTTCTTTGGTCTTCCTCTTTTCCTTTAGCCTTGAAGATTCCATGTGAGGGCTTGTCTTGTGACGCAGTTGAGTGCTTTCCTCAATGTGTGTCCTATCTACTTCCAGTGCTTCTTCCTGATTTCTTCCTCCGCTGGGATGTGGTTTGTTCTCTCCCACAGTAGGTTGTTGCTAATAGTGTCTGGCCAACGGATCCGAAGTATTTTGCGTAGACAACTGTTAATAAACAACTGTATTTTCTGGAAGATGTCTTTCGTAGTTCTCCAGGTTTCTGCCCCATATAGTAGAACTGTCTTGACATTTGTATTGAAAATCCTGACTTTGGTGTTGGTTGACAGACAGTTGTTTTGAGTTCCAGATGTTCCTCAGTTGTAAATATGCTGCTCTTGCTTTGCCAATCCCAGCCTTTATGTCTGTATCAGATCCACCTTGTTCATCAGTGATGCTGCCTAGATATGTAAAGGTTTTTACATCTTCCAAATCGTCTCCGTCAATTTTGATTGGATTGTTGCATGCTGTGTTGTATCGAAGAATATTGCTTTTCCCTTTGTGTATGTTGAGATCTACTGCTGCTGGGGCTGCTGCTACACTGGTCGTTTTTTCCTGCATTTGTTGTTGCGATTGCGATAGGAGGGCCAGATCATCTGCGAGGTCCTTCTAAAGGTTTGGTTCTAGTAATTTATAAGTAATTGTAAATAATTAACTCATTCACCAGACACTCATATATGAACTATACTCTAAGTATGAGGTCTAATGATGCTATCTGGTTGTCCAAACCTATGTGATACGGTGTTCGAACCTTGAGCTCACTGAATGAATGTCAGATATCTTAACTGACTAAGTTTATGTAAGGGTAAGTTATACTAAGACAATATATCGTGTTTTTTTTAAAATCAATCTGTTGTTCGAAATCTATGTATTAGTGTTTAGAAAATACATGTAACTACGTTTCTATCCAATTAACGTTTTGTGGAATTTTCCATAAAAATTTAAGAATCAAAATTCATCATACGGTTCCTCAATCTATTTAATCAAATGAAAATTTTAATATCAGCCGTAGTATCCTTTTCCATATAGTTTCAGATTCGTAAAGTTTTGTGTTATTCTAATGAATAACCGACCGAAATGTCAATGTTTCTAGTTTCCAGCATACTATATATGTAGTGAACAAGATCACCAGTTGGGGCAATTTGAACGTTTCCTTCTCTATCTAATACTGAAATACATTCTATTTCTGACCACTACTATATACTACTTATGTGGATATAAGTAGCTCACACTACAACTATCCATATTGTCTAGATTGTAATTTTTTCCAATTTCTAAGTACATGAAGTTATGTCTTGTTAGCAAAGTCCATTTTTGAGAAGGGGATATTTACTGAATATGATCTCTTGTCATTTTATAAATGATTCTTCTTCTTAGTATAGGGCTTTTAAGAGATTGTTAAATTTTAATAGTATACATCATAAACTTTGATTGTCATTGAAAACCAAGAAGCATTGAACAGGATGATGAGAGTACCATTCTGTTTATTACATCTTTGGTAGCTAATCAAGTCAAATTCTTTTCTTGGTGCGTCGTGAAGACACTCTCATTTGTTAGTTATCAGAAGAAAAAAAAGTCAACAGTTTTATTTCTATAGGATATGTTCCTTTTTATCTAAATGCAATTCAACGTTGATATATCTAACGATGAAGCCTCTCTATCTGGAGATACAGCTCAATGAAGATACCATTTTGTGATGAACTACGAGATAAACTGACTAAGGCAATGAAGAAGATGTGTAATGAAACTAACATGGAGATAATATTTCCAGGAATTTTTCTTGTCACATGTAACGATGTTTGAGTGTTTAAAATGTTGACTTGAATTTTCAAATCCTTGTAGAGTTCTCTTGGTACTCAACAGTCACATATTATCTTTACTTTTTCTAGACAAAGTTTACTTCACATCCAACGATGTGAATCCGCTTCCCATAAAAACTGATGTATATATAAACAATATTTTATTTCAATTGTTGAGTTCATGAGTCAAATAATGCTAGACCACCATGGAAAAGCTGAAAGCACTGGACGACCGTTTCGTCCTATTGTGGGATTCCTCAGGTAGCTAGCTTCAATTGACTCATGATCTCAACAATTGAAATTACAAAAATCTCCACAAAACCCACTTCTGATAATATTTTATTTGATTGGTGACTTTTCTTTAGACCGACTTATTCATGTAAACCTCAAATCAATGAACCAAATGATCGCAAAACCAATAAAACTAGCCGGTGTATCAAGTATTTAACATAAGAACAAATAATAATACCTGTTGCTTAATATACTAAGGACTATAGAATATGAGTTTTAAGTCTCATTCATTTGAAAATGGTATTAAAACTAGACTGTTTGTTACATCAATAACATTGAATTCAATGAAATTGTGGTCAGCGTTTTGACTTTTTTTTCCAATGAGGTGATCACGTTTTGTTAAATATCCACATTTCTTATGTATTCATACTTTCGTCTAGAAAAATAAATGAACTTCTTATTGGTCTATTCAAGTCATTGAGCGCTCACTCGATGGTTAAGACCTTCGACATTCAGCCATTAAGTTTCAAGTCCGAACTCCATTTTATCTCTTTTTGTTTTAGCAACCAAATAATATCACTAGTCTTCATGATTAAACTGTGTATTTTAGCTAAGTATACAAATGTTTACGTGGTAAGTGAAGTAAATAACTTCATCTTCAGGAATCTCAGTTTTGTTTACCTTACTGAATATATGTGTATCTAACAATTATGTTTCCTGTGTTTTAATTTCTAGAATAATGTTATGTCATTTGTCGATGCTGATGGTGTACGTGTTCTCATCGATTTAGCATGTTTAGCACATTTACATACAAATCGAGCACCTACCCCATTTCAATCCAATGTTTTAAAAGCTAGTTCTGAACAAGAGTTTTCAGGTACTGGTGCAAATACTCAACGAGAATGGTGGTATATTAATACAACACAAACAGAACAAACAACTAATGGATCAATAACCAAATCTGGATCTCATTCTATTCAAGGTCCAGTTAGTTTTTATGAAGTAAGTACTTTGTTTATTCAAATGTAAATTTTGTAAAGTTTAATGATAAACAGTATATGTCTATATTTGTTTCATGTAATAGTTTAGGTGAATCGATTTACAGTTGATGAATCCTTATTTACATATATTTTTCTTATTAGAACGGTACTATACAATTATCATTCTTAATTTATTAAAAGTAATTTTTGATTGAGATCATGAACTGATTGATGCTAGACCAACATTGAAAACCTGGAAGCACTGAACGGCCGTTTCGTCCTATTGTGGGACTCCTCAGCAGTGCGCATCCACGATCCCGCCGGTGGGATTCGAACCCATGGCCTTCAGTTTCGCGCGCGAACGCCTAACCTACTGGACCACTGAGCTGGCATCGAAAGGTGTAAATGTCTAACCCCAACCAATCCACGAAATTGCGCGACCATCTCCCTTTTTACTGAGGTAGACACCTGTTTCTACCCGACATGGATTAGATCCACTGGTCACGGCTTCTTGCCAGAACTCCGAGAATTTTCTCACGAAGCTAGTCGCTGAGGCGTCCCACAATGAGACGAAACGGCCGTCCAGTGCTTCCAGGTTTTCAATGATGGTCTAACATCAATCAGTTCATGATCTCAATCAAAAACTTAACGATCTCCACAAGCCCCAAACTGATAAAATTAATTTTTTCAAAGATTAACATCATATCAGTAACCCATCCAAATCAAACGTTATTTGATAGTTGTTTTGCCCTAATTAGGGAATAATTTGCAACAACTCTGATAAACACGCTAGGGATCAAACTTAGAACATTCATACCTCATGATGAGCGCATTATCTTTCGATCACTTAATTGGAATACGCCAACTCATAATAATACACCAACTTTAGCCAAACAGAGATTTCATGATCGTGATAATCTGTATTCATCTAGATGTTTTTAACACTTTTCATTCTGTGCTGCGAAACGTGGCCATTAAGAGTTAAAAATACTCGTAAGCTACTAGTATTTGACCATATATGCCTTAGAAATATTTCTCGCATCTGCTGGGATCACCGGGTGAGTAATAGTGAGGTTAGATGCGTGCTATTTGGGAATGATGGTAAATCAGTTGATGAGGTTGTGAATCTTCATCGACTGAGATGGTTGGGTCACGTGTTGCGTATGCCTAAACACCGATTACCACGAAGACCAATGCTAACCGGTGTTGGAGATGGTTGGAAGAAAGTTAGGGGTGGCCAATCGAAAACGTGGCATCAGTGCTTGAAGTCACTAACTTCTAGTCTGAGCCATATTGGTGGACGCGGACTACTTGGTTGGGGTCTGCGTGACTATCCTAATCAATGATTGGAGACTCTATGTGACATGACTGAGAATCGATCACAATGGTGTAGGTGTATACACTCTCTTGGACCAATGCATATATGTGTCTAGTCCTACGTTGTAACTGACTGACTATGGAGTTAACGCAGTATATTCGTATCGGCCACCATAAGTCCAATGATCTCAACAGTTGTAATTATCTGATCACTAGTGGCTAGCTTCACGATGCAATCCTTTGAGTTCCAGTGTAAATCCGTGACCAACAGAGTTCAGTCATTTTGAAAGTGAAATAATTATCATCAATAGCAAAATGGATGATGGCTGCTAAATATTGCTAAATGACTTAAAATAGAAGTGTAAACTAACTGGTAAGCAACTAAGTAGTATTAAAGTTAAGTGCTCACTGTGATGTCTGAGGATTTTAGGTTCAATACTTGATGGAGTCCTCGATGTGTGCAAGTTTCATATTAAAGCGAAATAGTTCTTTGGTTTCCGTTGGTTTCCAGTGATTGTTTAACCAAATTCAATTAGATTATCATAACAACTCAATGTAACTCATGCTTTATTCTTTTAAATAAAAAAAATTTCCCATATAGCTACAACAATTGATTAAAGATGGACGTATTAATAATGCTACAAAAGTATATGCCCAAGGTTTAGATGCAACACCTCGTTGTCGTCCAGATGGTTATTTAGCTGAAGATGATTTTGTTGATATCAAAGAAGATAGTAATAACTTCAATAAATCATCTAATCAATCACAAGAAAATCATTTAAATAATGATACTATATCATTAGATCATTCTGAACAAATGAATGAGAAAACTATTGCTTGTGGAATGTATGGTTGGATGCCAGCTAAACGTATTGTACAAATTCGTTGGACACTTTCTGATATTTCAGATATGAAATTATCAAATTCATCTAATCTGTCTACTCGTTCTAATCCAACTGTTATTAGTAGTAATAATAATAATACAAATAATTCAATTACTGGAAATCATGAAATAAACGTTGGTTGTTTAATTGATAAATTAAGTTATACTGGTGGAATGTTTACAAATTATACAAGTTTAGCAATAAAATGTATAGATATTTTACGTCGATTATGTGATAGTTGTTCATCACGTGATCTACATGGTGGTGTTGTACGTCCATTACCGAAACCACGTCGTGCTATCTCCGATATGAATTGTCTACCGCATGTAATTCAAGTAAGAATTGTATTATATTGATTACACTTTAGATATAAGTATGAAATATATATTACTTCATTTAGAATTTTCCTCCTAATATAGTCGATTCAATCAGTATCGATCACGTAGCTTCAATATTGTTTGTGTGCACTCCGGTTGTTGAGTCCACAAAATGCCACTCATGGATAACGACACGATCCAGTCAGTCAGTCAGTCAGTCAGTCAGTCAGTCAGTCAGTCAGTCAGTCAGTCAGTCAGTCAGTCAGTCAGTCAGTCAGTCAGTCAGTCAGTCAGTCAGTCAGTCAGTCAGTCAGTCAGTCAGTCAGTCAGTCAGTCAGTCAGTCAGTCAGTAACAACGTAGAACTTCGTACGTACCTACATCAGTTCGAGTTGCCATACCACATTAGCACAGAAATTCAGTTGTCGACTCAAATTCCGTAGTGGTGGAGGTAGTACGAGTATAAGCAGTAGTTGAAAAGATTAGCGTTTGAAGATGATATTCAAGGAGTGTAATCGAGTGAAATAAATTTGGAAAGAGAAAAAACGGACATAAAGAATTCGAAAGATTAGAATTTGGGAGAACACAAAGAGTGGATGCAACTGCGTCATTGCAAACAATTTTGAGCCATGTCATTCAGGGTCTCTAACCATCGGTTGCTATCCACTGAACGATATGGCACTTAATATCTCAGATTAATTTATTGCACTTCACTTTAAAGTAGCCAGAAAGCGGTAACCACTTAGCATGACCTGTAATGATAAACAGTATGAAATAACATTATAAAACTGTAAATTGCAAATGAATATGCATCCCATTATAATTGTCTTTCTGTTCATTTTACTTAAGGTTGTTAAATTACGATATATACCATGTGATTGCAACTAGACGACTCATATCTGTCAATGCTTAATGTTAAGTAACTTTCAAAACGAATATACTATCTTTGTTTTTATTACTCTTCCTATCTTCAATTTTTCCAGTTTACTTCTATTCTATTCTTTTGAGCTATTGAGTTGCAATTTAAGTTGTTCAAACATTTGATTCTGTGCTTAGAAATCGATTTTTCGCACTACTCACTAAAAGTTTCAAACTAGAACGAAGCAACTGTTTAACAGTTAGTGAAGTGGCTGGAGTTATTTGATAGAAAACCATGAGCCTAAATTTGGTAGTAGTTGGCGTTCGTTGGTAAGTGGTACATGGAATCGTGAGGGGAGTGATATGTTCTCTGTAGGAGTCGAACCCAAGTCACCCAGTCTGACACTCTGGGACGTTACCACTATGCATGTCGAGCCCTCAAATTACCTCTTGTAGAACTGAGATGTCTAGTGTCCAATGTCATATTTGTCTGATCCATTGTTCAGGTCGAATTTTATCGGTCAGGTTGTAATATCATGACTAGCCTAAGTGACTCGACGTTGTATGCACTTTGCTAAGGTGTTGGGTGATCGGAGTTAGTCAACAGTGAAATCTTAGCTCATATTTCATTCTTTTTAACATCGACCAATAAGGTATACCTGATATTTTAAAGGAACTGATTCTCTCTAGTCTAGTATTTCAATGTTTTCATTATATTAACAATGTCTAACAACTAATCTACTGTTCTATTTTATTATTACTATTACTATTATTTTATTTAATTAATATATTTAGCTACTACTGACCTTCGACCCACCATTGGTTGAACGTGTTGTCTCTCTTCTACATGCTGTTATGGATCAAAATCCTTTTCTACCACGACTTTACTTAACTGGAATATTTTATTTCATATTATTATACACTGGTAGTAATGTTTTACCAATTGCAAAGTTTTTAAAAGATGTTCACTTATTACAAGCATTACGCTTAGATGAAGTAAGTTGTACTATATTGTTGTTCATTGTTGTATTGATTGGTTTTGTCTTGAAATTTCTGTGCAAGTGTTATATATATATATATATATATATATATATATATATATGAAATCGAAGCAGCAGCGACAGACCTTCCTACCGAAGTTACCTCGTCATCAATCGAAGAAATCAACATGGACATTAGACAAATGAAGAGTGGGAAATCAGCAGGACTAGACAACATACCAGCTGAAGCACTGAATTCAGACATAGAAGTAAATGTAAATGCTATACGTTCTATTCAGGAAGATTTGGGAGGAACGACAAATGCCGATAGACTGGAAAAAAGGATACCTCATCAAAAAATCTTAGTAATTATGACAACTATAAAGGCATCACACTATCGGTATCAGGAAACATTTTCAAGTGTTGCTGAACAGGATTAAAGATTCCGTAAGAATCGGTCGTACACAGACCACATCGCGGCACTGCGGATCACCGTTGAACAATCAATCAAATGGAACTCGTCACTATACATCACCATACTTGACTATGAGAAAGCATTCAATAATGTGGATAGGAGAACATTATGGAAACTTCCTCGACACTATGATGTACCTGAGAAAATGGTCAACATCATCCGGAATTCATAAGACAGACTACACTGCAAAGTCGTGCATGGAGAGCAGCTGACAGACGCATTCCAAGTGAGGACCGGTTTAGGACAAGACTGCTTATTCTCCTCCTTTCTCATTCTTCTGATCGTTGACTGGATTATGAAAACCTCGACATCAGAGGGGAAGCACGGAATATAATGGACAGTTTGAGTGTAACTGGACGGTTTGGACTTCTCAGATGACCTAGCTCTTCGATCTTATGCACTCCAGCAAATGCAGATGAAAACAATTAGTGTAGCAGTAGCCTCTGCAGCCGTAGGCCTCGACGTACGCAAGGCAAAAAGAAGATCCTGAAGTACAAAGCAGTGAGTAGTGACCTTACTACTACAACCAGCGTCAATAAAACACGCGTATCTACAACCAGCTATCTAAGCAAGGTACCGTTGGCCGGACACTATCGTCAAGAAGTTACTTTGGCATAGAGAACGCAAGCCCTAACTTGAAATCGTCAAGGCAGAAGGAAAAGAGGAAGATCACAGAATTCATTGTACTATGAATTAGAGGCAGAAATCAAAATAGTGTATAGCACTTTGCAACAAATGGGAAAGATAGCACATGACAGAGTTCAGTGGAGAATCCTAATTAGCGGTTTATGATACACGAGGTTTAATAAGCGTAAGTAATGTATATAATAGGTATCTTTTGCTTGCTGATGACTTTATAGATACTTCTTATATGCACAGATTACATCTTCACTGTAAAACTAGAGCAATAGAGAAGACAAGAACTATGACTAAATGCATTGTTCCAAGGTTAATCAACGTTTAGAAAATCTTCATAAATCATTTAGGAAATTCAGGAAATATACTGTATTTAGCAACAATCTAAGTAATTATCCAATCAAAATGTGACACATGGTCCCTTTGTTTTAAAGATGTATCCTAGCAACTTCTATTCAATGTTAATTGGTTAAAACTTTTACTACCTTTTTCTATGCCTCTAAAGACTTAGTGTGTTTGTTGACTCTCAACAATATGTATTTATGTATGCGTATACCCATGTGTGAATTTTTAACTTCAGTCAATCATAATGTAGATAAACTGAGATGCTTTCAGAGATAAGTGATGAATTGTCAACTTCCCGGATATCCAATCACTTAGCAAAAAGAAGACACTTCATTCTAACGAGCTTCAGTTTGTTATTTCTAGACTTCTTCTAATACACCGGCTATAGATGACATTAGTGTTTATCACTTACAAATTGACTTACTCGTCATTAAGCAACATACATCCACCGGTAAAAAGTCAGTTCTTGGCAAGATATGATTGTTTTAGTACTCATAATTTAATTATCAGTGAAATCTGAAATGCGCGTTTCCTCCTCTTTGAGATTCGTCTACTCGATTCACCTTCATTCTATTATTGACATATACATAAACTCAAAATTTATCACTTTAAATGCAACGTATTATCCATTACGCTACTGAGTTCAAGTAGTCACCAACATAGATTAGCCAAAAATCAGTATGTTAATTTCCTCTCGTTATGCATCTCAATCAATCATACATACATTACTTTGTTATTTTCATGATTTACAAGTTTAGTTTACTTTAGAAGAACACTTCTTATTGAGTATCTTATCATATGACCTAAAACAAAATAAATATAACAAAATTATTCATTTGTAATTAGTAGTATATTGTGTGTAGGTACTTATTGTATCTGTATGTCTATATCTATATTGTCGATTTATTCGTATTTCAGGAAAATGTTGAGATTTTCGGTTTTTTTTTAAACGAATATAATTACTATGACTGTTTACATACAATTAACAGGTTGGTCACAGGTTCTAACAGTCGGTTATTGTAGTATCACAACAATCACTCATACACACAAATAATGTGGATAAAATCTTAGTATACAAAGTACCAGTTGATAAATGAGTTATATTGAATTGTCTTGAAAGCAGTTAACACCACCTATGGATTTAATTAGTAATCATTGTTTCATAGCTTTGAACCTGTTAGGTCCTGATAAACATAATGAATGGTAACTTTGGGGATCCATTTATGGACCAATACTATGCATATATTTTGTATTGTATAGTTGTTAGGTAAGTAAACTATCCATATTCGTGTTCCCCTTATCGTAAGCTTTACTTTGACCTATGAACTATTATTATACGATTTACCGTTCTTGAATTATACCCTGTCTATTAACTACTACCTCCCACATTCACAGCCATATTTGGCCAAATCTTTTACAAATGTTGTTTCCTATTTTATGGTATGATCTGGTCAGTTTGTTTCGTATATAAACCCAGTATGCTTGAAATAAATGATTCATATTGCAGAGGCTGAGATTGGTGTTTTGGACTTAACTGACTGAGTTAGGCAGGAAGCAGGACCGATAAGTACTCTAGACTGCTCGTACGAAATTTATGTGTCATTGGTCCAATCGATAATTCACTGCTCTCTAATTGACGGTATCGTTACGTTATACATTAGGAGGGTACACAAGTCACAAGTTATAACAGAACCTCACTTCACGTACAACATTCTGAACAACTGCATAGATGAAAATCATGACTCGTCAAGTAATACTTAAACACAGCAAATCTTTCTTTAGTCTTGAGGATTATTCAAATACAATTTTTACTTATGATATCTTCTGCATACTCGTTACCCAATTTCTATAAAATTTTGACGAATCTTCATACAAAGAACTACAGTTTCTGGAGTGCGGATGAGTTCCACTCTCCTTTACAATTATGACCTTGCATCTGACAGCCAACCAAAATGAGGCGGGAATTATTATTTGCACTATCGTAGTCTCTATCCTTTTGCTGGTCTATATGAAACTGTTAAAGTTTTCTACTACGAAATGACTACTTCATCATGCTATGGATGTATCAAGTGTAGCGCAGTCAGTCATGATGGAAGAAAAATTATAACACAGGAAAAGATATAATTAGATAATGGAAATTATTCCAAGATATCTTCTATTGAATGACTAAATAGACGAATACATAACCGTTACTAGTTAACTACAATATACTTGGATCATTTGACGACGTTAAGTAGTTTATCCCTAATCAATTTTCTGTTTGTTGAACAAGATTGGCGACTGAATTTATTCAGTATGTTTGTGCTATATGACTCTTTCGAATGAAACCCTGTGTTTCTTCATAAATTAGTACTAGTTAACTATATAATCCAAAATTTGTATTTCATTCCATTTGGCACTTGTTAGCAGATTGTTTATACCTGTAAAAATCAATACTCGGATATATATGCGTGTGCACCCGACTGATTAGTTTCAGATTAGACAAAATATGAATCACATACTTTACTGTTAAATAACTATCCTTTACCAAATTGCATATTAACCGTAACTTTGTGTACATCTTGAAAAAGTATTGAACAGCTGATTCATCCTACTTTAACGTTACACAAAGTTGACTAACTTGAACTTCTATGAGAACTCGAATATTTAGATGATACAAGAATCGTAATGTGGAAAGAATCATAGAAATTGATATTTTGTAGTGCACACTTTTAGAAATCAGTAATATAATTTCACTACTGTGACTTTGTGCACCAAAAGTCGCTTCCGGATCCATGAGCCAATGTTCTCTGTTGGTATGAAATCAGGGTTTTTTCAACTTCCTTAGATGAACCCTCGATATCCTTCAATTGCCAGACATCCACTTTTCTTTTTCTTTTCATAAAAATATACCCTGTCCGCCACATAAAAATAGGGAATTGAACTTCCTCGACATTATATACTATTGCGTGACCGTATTTGATTTCAATAAAGGGACTAGGTTGTCCTCATACTCAATCGTATCTGAGTTTTCCGATGTGCACAACAGTGTAATTAAATTGAGTACGTAATTCCATTCGTCTGTAACTTTATTATTCTTAAATCATTTTAGTTCACTGGTTCATTAGGAATTGATTTAACCTCACGATCAATTCTGGGCAATATGTTGCCTGATGCTATGATTGCTTACTTAGAAAATCATCCACCAGAAAAATTCGCAGAGATTTTTCTTGGTGATTTCGATTCACCTGAGGCGATATGGAATTCAGAGATGAGGTAGGCTTCCTTTCGTTTTGTTACTATTATGTCTAGTGTTTTGTTATATATATATATATATATATATATATATATATATATATATATAATCAGTTTCTATTTGTAAACAAATATCTTAAACTGTTTGATCGCGCAATCACTTAGCTGATTTTTACACACACATTTTTATATATCTAATTTAAGTAACTTCAAGTCGAATGTACACTTCCCTGTGTTGATTGTTTACACTGAGACCCGAACTTAGAAGTCGATATATTATCCATTAAGGTACTGTATCCATTTAGCTTCTAACTCGTTAGACGGATATTATGTTTATTCGATGGTGTTTATACTATTCAGTCAGTCAGTCAGTCAGTTACAACGTAGGACCAGGCACATATGTCCATCGGTCCAAGTTACCATACCTCATTAGCACAACAAGATAAACACTGGATTCATAGGAGTAGATAAGTCGATGGTGGTAATATATAAGAGAAAGATTGCATATAAGGACATAGTACAGGAAGAAACAATTAGTTCTTGGAAAGAAAGATTTGAAGCGATTTTAATCTCATAGTTTGAGGGAAGACAGAAAGTGTATACACCTACACAATCGTGATCGATTCTGAGCCATGTCACCCATCGAGATTTAATTCTGATCAGTCTTTGTTTACATATATGGATCTCGGTGGAATCGTCTTAATTTACTTCACATTCTGACACGAAAGACATTTTCGACGCAATCTATACAGTGTGTACATAATTTGACGGACTACAGTGCAAAGTCGTGCATGAAGGACAGCTGATAGATGCATTCCAAGTAAGGACCGGAGTCAGACAAGGCTGTCTACTCTCTCCCTTCCTCTTTCTTCTGGTGGTCGACTGGATTATGAAGACCTCGACATCTGGGGGAAAACACGTAATACAATAGACAGCTCAGAACCAATTAGACGATTTGGACTTCGCAGATGACCTAGCCCTCCTATGGCATACACACTAACAAATTCAGATAAAGACAGCTAGTGTAGCAGCAGTCTCTCTCTGGGAAGCATCGTCGATGAACAAGGAGGTTCGGATGCAGACGTAAAGACGAGGATTGGCAAATCAAGGGCCGCATTCCTACAATTGAAGAAGATGTGGAACTCAAAACAACTTTCAAATAATATCAAAGTCACAATCTTAAATACGAACGTCAAGGCAGTTCTACTGTACGGAGCTGAAACTAGAAGAACTACTACAACCATCATCAAGAAGGTGCAAGTATTTATAAATAGTTGTCTACGCAAGATACTCAACATCCATTGACCGGATACCATCAGCAATAGCCTACTGTGGGAGAGAACAAACCAGCTTCCAGCTGAAGAGGAAATTAGGAAAAGACGATGGAAATGGATAGGACATACATTACGCACGTCATCAAACTGCATCACGAGGCAATCGCTGACTTGGAATCCTGAAGGAAAGCGTAAAAGAGGAAGGCTAAAAAGAACACATTACGTTGGGAAATAGAAGCAGATATGGAAAGGATGAATAACAACTGGAAGGAGCTGGCAAAGATTATCCAGGACAGGATTGGATGGCGAATGCTGGTGAGCGGCCTATGTTCCTTCACGAGGAGTAACAGGCGTAAGTAAGTAGACGTGTAATTTGTACATTGTGTTTATATCATGTAACTTCAATTCATTTTGTTTTACATAACGAAAATCACTGTTTTTATCATTAAAGATTATCTTCTCTCTAAGTTTTCGTATGCTACCTCCTGAATTGTTTAACTTACTTTAAATATACGTCTGAAAATATTTCAGTGCTTCAAATTGTGTTTTGTCTCTTGTTAATTATTGATAATATTCATTTGTACAATTGAGTTCACGAGCTGGTCTAAGACTACCATTGAAAGCCTGGAACCATTGGACGGCTGTGTCCGTTCTAGCATGGTGCTCCTTGGGAGTGCACATCCACGGTCCCGAGCGTGGAGGTCGAACCCAGGCCTTTGAACTACTGAACCGGCATCTGACAGTGTTAATATCTAACTTGAATAAATTCATGATCTTGCGCAACCAACCATCCATTACCTGTGATGGATCACTGTCTCACACTCGATATGGATCCTGCTCTACTGGTCTAGTGTAGATTGGCTCAGCAGTGAACATACTACAACCACCCATACTAATATTCATTTTGTCAATTTTATAGACCATTATTCAATTATCCTTTTCAAATATCGTTGATTATTTTCGATTATTTCTCAGTTGATTCATTGATCTATGGAGTTCAATGTTAGGCATATGATTTTATTGTACAACATGTTTGACATGCTTGATGTGATTGTAGGTAGTTGACAGTGTAAACATCCAACCTAAATTTTGTACTAATTGTTACCCATCACTAAAGCGTACCTGGAATCTAATAATGAACTCTATTGCCTTGTTGGTACATTGTTTCCTGTAGACCTTAAACAATCATATAACGTCCAAATGCGACTCATATGATTTTGCGTCACTTAAACTAACAACCTGATCGACACGATTTCAAAAATAGTATTGTTAGATCTGTCGAAGCATCTAGTTCACCTGATTGGGTTACGCGCGAAACCGAAGTTACAAACCTCGATTTGTGAGGTGTCTTGGGCCTTTAAACGCGTCTTTCAAGTATGAAAGTAAAAAGGCTTCCTGTAACAGTAACATAAAGAACAATTATAACATACGATAGTACAAAAGACAGCTGATAGCTGTGTCTATATTTGATAACAGTTTATGGACAACCGAGACCCGAACCAAGAGCAAAACAATATGGAAACTGTTGCGTTTAAACAAATGCATGAAACTGTGAATAACCGATGCAGTGATTAAGGTACAGTAATTAAAATGATAAATACAATGATAAGTACAATAAACGTAATAAATATATGTGAACAGTACAACTTGCGTCACAACATAGGTTTAAAAAATTGTTGGGATTACAACTGCATAGTGAATGTTAATAAGTAGTACAAAACAATATACAAAAGAGTGGAAAGGGAGCGAGTGGAACAATCTAAGACAAACTTGATAAGTCGACAAGGACCAGACAAATATGACATTGGTCATTACTAATATGTAATCAGGATAGATGTTAAAATAGCTTTTCTAGAGTTGCATATGAGTATACAGAAGCATATTCTAAGGTGTTCTGTTGAAGCCTTATTATTTATTTATTTTAACACATAGATATTGGTACAAAGAAGCACCAAATACATATGCGCCACACAAATCTCATTCGATTTGTGTGAGGGCTCTGATACTGCCCGAGTGCCCAAATCGAAGCAGTTGGTTTTCTTAGGAGGTCGCTCCCCGAGCCTTCGACCTGAAGGTCTGATCCACAAGGCAGTGGAGCATCGTAAGGAGATGAGTTCCATGGTAGCCGGTGACCAACGATTGGTTCATACGCCATTTGTTCCCTCAGGATACTGGAGTCCATGTGTACCATTGGTTTGGAATCCGGTTAAAGCGCCGGACATTCGCTTTTCGTCCTCTCAATTTCGTAAACAACACCCGTGGTGCGAGAAGGCAATGAGTAGGATTTCCCTGGCAGAGGCTATATACGCGTGGCCATGTGTGAGTATTTCGAGAGGGAGAGCGGACTCTCCCCACTCTCAGCCGTACCAGGGCATTCAGTGGCAAATGAATATTCAAACTTTTCTCTATATATTTAAAAGCAGTTTATTCCCGGCTTGAACTTACTTTAGTTAGATTGATTATTCATCCAGTTCATTTCAAATTCATCACTGTTTATTTTATATACCTCTAATCATTCATTCATTTTTTTTGTCTTACACATTTCCGTAATATAGACGTTATATGATCGGTCGAATTACATCACATTTAGCAGATTTCTCACCACGTTTACATAGTAATATACGTGCTATTTATCGATTTATCGGTATGCCAATTATCATTTATCCACAATTGGAAAATGAATTATTTTGTCATAATTATTATTTACGTCATTTATGTGATCTACAACGTTTTCCTGATTGGCCTATACGTGACCCGGTAAATGTTTACTTACTTACTTATATGTTGTTGCTTTGCTTATTCTTGTTTTAGTCTACCTTTTTGTTTTAACCATGTGTACTAATTGTCTGTGATATGTATATATTTGTTTAGTTAGAACAATACAGAGTCCCATACTAGGACGAAACGGCCGTCCAGTACTTCCAGGTTTTCCATGGTGGTCTAGCTTCAACTGGCTCATAATTTCAATCAGTGAAATACAGATATAACCGTATATGATTGTTTACGGTTTGATTGTCGTTAGACTGTACTACAATAGACAGTAATATATGTATACAAAAAGTACGAACTAATAGTGTACTTGACCAAGTGTACTAACTGTGTTAAGAAGAATAAATCAATGGTTTATAATCGAAAATACGTTCAAAACCTTGAAAAAATTGACATCGAAAGAACATTCATCGTAGATTATGTCCAAATGATTAAATGAGGAAATAGTGGTCACAGAAGAAATATGAATGTTACAGATATGTCATGAATATAAAGACTTGTTTGCTAGAGTAGTCTTGTAGCTTCTGCCATATGTCATAAACAAGATTGAACCCGTTAAATAAAAGTGGTGAGTAACCATAGTTCATTCGAAATTATTTGTTTCTGTCCACTGCATGACTGCTATCCGTTTAGTGTGATAGAACGAAGCTATGTAGTGTTTTGGTCAAAACTTTTAGCAAACAAGAATGGAGGTGTTCATTAACGCGTTGGTTCAGTTGTTTAATTGCACGCTCAATATTTCCTTTTTCATAAAAGCAGCTGATTACATGTATACACATGAGTGTGCTAAAGTGGTTAACTTATCGTTTGATTGAGGAACCACCATAGGTCAGTTAGAAAATGATAGACATATGTTAGTTTCATTACACATCCCGTTCATTGCCTTAGTCAGTCTATCTCGTAGTACATCACAAAATGTATCTTCATTGAGTTGTATCTCCAGATAGAGAGGCTTCTTACCGACTGTTATCACTGCACTTCCCTGTTTGCTATATGCATGTAATTCTCTAAAAAAAAGCTTTTTGGGTTACATATTTCAATCGACATATTATGAATAAAGTCTTGTTCCTTGTTTATGCTGTCTTCTGAGCATATTTCCCAACTCTACTTACTAGTCATCTAGCTGCGTTTATCTTGTACATATTGAAACTAGCTCTTTGAGACTAACTTCGGACATTCCAAAATTGATTTGTTTTTCAAGAAGTTGTTCACACACTACGAAGGCATCAGGTGTTTGTTATGCAATATCATGAATTGAATGAATTTTGAAGTGTTCACCACTTAATTTCAACTCGGTACTTTAAAGGTTAAACGTACTCACTGAAAGCTGAATGTTCTGGGTTTGACTGTTCTAGGAGTCGCGAGTCCGCACTGCTTAAGTGTCACACACTAGAATAAAACAGTTATTCAGTGTTTTGTGTTTGTGACTTTTTAGTTGCACGTTATTTGATGCGTATTCACTATTGAGTATATGATATTCTTTTCTCTCTGTTGTTTCAGTGTACGTGCTTTCGCTTATTGTACGCATAAACTAACACCTAAACGGGAATTTCACTCGTTTAACTTGACTTTCAACAATAAAATCTACTATCTACTAGTTAATATACTAAAAATTTGAATATCTGACTATTGAATCAACGCAATGGAAGTTATTTACCAAATACACATTTATATGCTTGATTTTTCAGTTACAATTTTCCTTTGTATAAAACCTTAAAAAACACAATCCGATCACTCAAATCAAATTAGGTGTAGTGGAGCTTAGAATCTTCTAATGTCTTTATTAAAATGAATCACACATATTTTGTTTTGGAATCTGACTTGCATATTCTTCAACGAACTTTTGACTAAATCGATAATGAATACTATGTGGATTGTAAAACACTAAATAATAACTTTTGGATCCCTTTCGTATTTATATGTATCCGGGCTGACACTGATAGAGAAATGGTGATGATCACCTTGACTAGTCGTGGATGCCCCCAAATTCCTTGGTACGACCGAGAGTGGGGAGAGTCCTCTCTCCCTCCCGAAATGCTCCCACATGGCCACGCGTATATAGTCTCTGCCAGGGAAGTCCTACTCATTGCCTTCTCGTGGCAGAGGTGTTGTTTACGAAATTGAGAGGATGAAACGCGAATGTCCGGCAGGGGGCTTTAACCGGGTTGGTGGACATGGAGAGTCCACCTAGGGAGGGGAGTTGGAAAACCTTGATTCCAAACCAGTGGTGCACATGGGCTCCAGTATCCTGAAGGAACGAATGAAGTATGAACCAATCGTTGATCACCGACTAGCACGGGACTGCATCTCCTGACGTTGCTCCACTGCCTTGTGGATCAGACCTTCAGGTCGAAGGCTCCGGGTGTGGCCTCCCAAGAAAACCACCTCCTTCGGTTTTGCAACCGTGCAGTATCACAACCCTCACACAAATCAAGTGAGATTTGTGTGGTGCATATGTATTTGGTGCCACCTTGTGCCAATATCTTTGTGTTAAAATAAATAAAGAAATGAGACTGGTCTTGGATAATTCATTTACTTTGCAAAAAAATGTCCACATTTGTATGCCTTACTTCATCATACGTATTCTTGTAAGAATGTATATGTAGCTTCCCGGAACTTTTCCTATGTAAACACACTTTTCCTTATGTTTAAACTTCTTTTCATCATTTTATTTTAGGTAGCATTATTACGTGATATATTGAAAACATGGCGTGACGAATTACAAAAGAAACCAGTGAATATGTCTTATGAAGAAGCATTAAGTGAACTTGGATTAGATCCAGCTCTGTTAAATTCGTAAGTAAATCAAATCACTCTTTTTTTTAATGTTTGATTGATTCACATTCACTTCCACACGGTTAAGAATGTTAGGATTCTGTTAATAATCGATTTGAGATGAGATCTTGAATGTTTAATTTAAAGTATGGTTTTGAACTGATATCAACTGAAATCGAAAGTTACAAGATGATGGAATATTATTCCACTTCTTAGCTTTTGACAACTTGTCTCCTCTGTGCTGTAAGCATTTATCGGTCGAACTAAAGGGGGAGGATACTTTGTAATATCTCGTTCTGTCCTACTTTGACTGTGAAGTGTGTCCTCAAAGAATAGATATTTTTAGATTACTAATATTTGATCATAGATGCCTTCGAATCACTAAACAATTATTTTCTAAACGATTGAGTGAAGTTAAATATAAGTTGCTACATGAAAATGGTAAGTTGGTCAATGGGGTTTTAGATGTTTATTAACTGAGGTGGTCCGGACATGCATTACATATGTCTATCCATCGTCTGCCGTGACGTGCAACTATACATAGTGTAGTAGTGAGTTGTAAGAAAGCTAGGAACTCCCAATCCAAGACATTGGACCAATCCATTTTAAACTGAGCTGTGTGGACATGTACAACCTACTCAATCACAGTCATGTTAATAACTCCAATCAGTGGTTGTATAAGTCCGGTAACATAATTCACAATCGGTTTCTATGGCACAGTTCAGTTCGCTGTTCTGATGTGGCTTGATGGCTTGAATCGTTTAATACCATTTCCAGGTTCTTCATTCCTGATGATTAACTGACTGGATGACTTAATACATACCCACAACATCACGTGTGATTGTACCATATGACATTTATGTCTCACAACGTGCATAATACCATGTATAGCTTATGACTTGGTAACTATTTGCTTGCTGGTGAACTTGACTTGTTCCACTTGATCTTCTAATTAAATTCATTCAACCGTAGTGCGAAAAAAGTCAGGATTATATTAGTTGCAAAACTATTGGATTGCTTAATTGTTTCAGTATTACAAGTTAACTAACTGTAGTTTAAACAATAACTGACTCGATTCAAAATCCATTCAATCCGGAACTCATACGACGGACTACAGTGCAAAGTCGTGCATGAAGGACAGCTGACAGATGCACTCCAAGGAAGGACCGGAGTCAGACAAGGCTGTCTACTCTCTCCCTTCCTCTTTCTTCTGGTGGTCGACTGGATTATGAAGACCTCGACATCTGGGGGAAAACACGTAATACAATAGACAGCTCAGAACCAATTAGACGATTTGGACTTCGCAGATGACCTAGCCCTCCTATCGTATACACACTAACAAATTCAGATAAAGACAGCTAGTTTAGCAGCAGTCTCTCTCTGGGAAGCATCGTCGATGAACAAGGAGGTTCGGATGCAGACGTAAAGACGAGGATTGGCAAATCAAGGGCCGCATTCCTACAATTGAAGAAGATGTGGAACTCAAAACAACTTTCAACTAATATCAAAGTCACAATCTTAAATACGAACGTCAAGGCAGTTCTACTGTACGGAGCTGAAACTAGAAGAACTACTACAACCATCATCAAGAAGGTGCAAGTATTTATAAATAGTTGTCTACGCAAGATACTCAACATCCATTGACCGGATACCATCAGCAATAGCCTACTGTGGGAGAGAACAAACCAGCTTCCAGCTGAAGAGGAAATTAGGAAAAGACGATGGAAATGGATAGGACATACATTACGCATGTCATCAAACTGCATCACGAGGCAATCGCTGATTTGGAATCCTGAAGGGAAGCGTAAAAGAGGAAGGCCAAATAACACATTACGTTGGGAAATAGAAGCAGATATGGAAAGGATGAATAACAACTGGAAAGTATTGCCCAGGACAGGGTTGGATGGCGAATGCTGGTGAGCGGCCTATGTTCCTTTACGAGGAGTAACAGGCGTAAGTAAGTAAGTAAGTAAGTAAGTAATGCACATACTGTTGAAGAGTCTCAGCATATCAGTCATTTTTGAAATGTCCCTTCAAAAAACTTGAACAGTATTTGGCTAGTTTCTACTTATATCATCTTTTTTTTCCTTGAATTAATTGGTTTCAATTTTGATCAGTTCACTTTGTTCGTTTTCATACACACACACAAATAATGTAGGTCAAATGAAGAGTCATTTATTCGCCGAGCTTATTATCAAATGTCAATGAAATATCATCCGGATAAGAATCCAAATGGTCGAGTAAGTCGTACTAATGATCAGTAGTGAATGTTTTATTTTTAAAATGAACATAAATTTTATTAGGGGGGTGAATGGTGATTATTAATATTTAATGCCAATATCAATAATATAATGGTTGCTTGGTAGTTGAAACATTTAGCTTTCAACTAATAACTTATAGTTTCAATGTTTACTTTTACTAAGTTTGCTTTTGTCAACCTGACAATACAGTCAGTCAGTTACAATATAGGATTGATGCCAAGTATTAGTTGCGCTGCTCCTAGCTTTCTTCTAACCTACTCTCCCACATCGGCTCATTTTACCATACTATGCCCAAACAATACAGCGAGATGAAATTGTCAGACCAAATCCAAGAATAGTAGAGGCTGTAACATAATAAGTAGTGATTAAAAGGATTATGCATCAAAAAAGCGGTTCGGAAAGAAAATCTAAATTAGTGAGATGAAAACATAAAGAAGTCATGGAGAATTCAGAAGCTCAAGATTTAGGGGAAGATAAAGAACGAATGCACCTGCACCATTGTAGACGATGTTGAGTGATGTCATTGAAATTCTCTAACCATCGGTTAAGATAATCACGTATACCCCGACCAGGTAGTCTACATCTACTAAAATGGCTTAGTCCAATTGTCAATGACTTCATGGATTGATGCCAAGTATTAGTTGCGCTGCTCCTAGCTTTCTTCGAACCTACTCTCCCACACCAGACAACAGCACCCATCCAAGTAGGTGGTGGTTGGTGTCTTACTAGAGTATGTAAATCAGTATTCAGTTCCGGGTTTACAGTTCATTAATTTAAGTTGAAACAAAGCTGGCTGTCCATGGAAAAACAAAAGACAGCTTCAGTTAGATTTACAAGATATGGGGAACATTCATTTAGCGTTGCTTGCTTGTATTTCCCATTGTGGTTAAGAACTACAATTGATCAGTCTCTTGTTGGCGTCTTGTGCGGATTGCCTCGATATTGCCTTAAATCACAAGCTTTATAAGCAGAGATGGATAAGGGATAGTAGTGGAATCCAGGACCTAGGTTTCGTGCTACTTCGCACTCATCAACAAAGTGTACCTGTAATCTTGAGGGAACCGATGCTCCCTAACGGATTCTATCCCGCGTCACCCAGCTTCACAGTTACAGACGTTGCCACTGAGCTATCCGGGTCGCGACTGACTTCCTGTAGGACTGAGATGTATTTAAAATTGATTCATCACCACCCAAGTGTCAAACAGCACGAAAATCAGGTACAAGGTTTCCTGTTGACTACCCACAACCACCATCTTATTTCAACATAGTGCACGTAATGTCGAGTCGCCAAGACTGGTGGCCACATTTCAACTTGGCTGTTAGGATTCGATCTGGACTAGGAATGACCTGACACACATAACATTGATCACCACCCAGTGATCAGTCAATTGTAAACATATTAAAGTCTATGGAATTTAAATTATTTCATGTGAGTATTGTCGTTGATCATCTGGGTTTATCCATTTATTTTGTACTTTTCTTAGGAGAAATTTCAATCGTTAACCAAAGCTTATCAATTTCTATGTAATCGTAGTAAATTATCACGTGGTCCAAATCGTCTACATATTCAATTAATGCTTAGAGCTCAAAGTATCGTGTACAAACGTTATCGTTCTTGTAAGCTTCTCTTTTTTTAATCGTTGAAATTTTTATTTATTGAATCTCCTTCCCGTATGAATTTGAATGTAAACTATAGATAAGTTTATGTTGATCTATTTTAAAATTCATTGCAGTACTCGTTGAAGTAAAAATAAGTTGAAAGAAAGCTAAGGAGTGACCAAATCAAGATGTAAGGTAGTCTATGTTAGTAGATGTAATTCACTTGGTTTAGGTTGATTTGATAACCATAGTCCCGGTGGTTGGGGACTTTAGGTGACAGTCTGGAAAGCCAGTTACAATATAATGAACGAGAACCATACATTGTATACTTCATTTGCAAATCTTCTATCAATCGTCTCATTACTCACCGTTCCTTCATTGTTTTTAGTCCCCATTTACATTCCATTCTCTTCAATTCAATCTTCACAACCTTGTACTGTCAGGATTTTGACTTTTGATTGGTGTTACATACTATGTATGTCTGTCGACATGAGTAGCATAAACCATAGTGCTAATTTCAGTTTCAAGATTATTATATTCGTTTTGTTTACACTTTTTGTGTACTATGATTGATTCCCCTATGATTCAGATCCGTTCAATAGTTTCATCTTGATGTTTTAATGTATCGTATCAACCTGGGCAAATGTACATAAATTTTGTGTTAACTTGATGTGATTCACAATATGACTAACTGGAATATATCAAACTTCTTCCTTTGATTACAAATTTGCAAAATAATTTATTAACTTTTTATTTGAAACGTTGTCGTCGTGATACAAAACAAGTCATGGATTGGAACCGGATTAGTTTCATATGCTTTAGTTTAGTTAGCCGACCTTAATATATGGAAGTTTCAGCCCGACATCAAGTATAGAGACCTATAACCTCAACTCTCGTACATAATTATCGACTTAAATCGCGTTAGTGAATAACAGAATTAAATAAGTCAAATACGAGAATGAAGTTTGACTACATATGGTTCATACACTTATTGATCCGAATAGACAATCCTTGAAACAAAGCGAAGGAAGCGGCGTGCAGTGGAGAAGGCGAGTGAGTCAACTCGATTTATTCAAGCTTGCCTCAATATTTTTATTCAGACAAAAATAAATTACAGACATAATGAATATGGTAAGCAATCAACACACATACTATCATAAAATTCTTAACTAGGGTTCAGTCAGTTAGTAAGCTACAACGTAGGACCAGGCACATATATGCATCGCTCCCAGTTGCCATACCTCATTAATACAACAAGATGAACACCGGATTCATAAAAGTAGTTAATTCAGAGGTGGTAATATATAAAAGAAAGATTGCATGTAAGGATATATATATATATAGTACAGGAAAAAAGAATTAGTTCGTAGAAAGAAAGATTTGAAGCGATTTTAATCTCTTAGTTTAAGGGAAAACAGAGAGTGTATACATCTACGACATTGCGATCGATTCTGAGCCATGTCAACAAGAGTCTCCAACCATTGGTTACGATTGTCACGCGGACCCCAACCAAACAGTCTGCATCTACCAACTTGACTCAAACTAGAAGTTAGTGACTTCAAGCATTGATGCCACGTTTTGGTTTGGCCACCCCTAACTTTCTTCCAACCATCCCCTACACCGGTTAGCATTGCACGTCGTGGTAATTGGTGTTCAGACATACGCAACACGTGGCACAACCATCTCAGTCGATGAAGAATCACAACCTCATCAACTGATTTACCATCATTCCCTAATACCCTGCGTCTAACCTCACCATTACATACCCGGTGATCCCAGCAGATTCCAGCAATATTTCTAAAGCATATGTGGTCAAATATTAGTGGCTTACGAGTGTCTTCAACTCTCAATGGTCACGTTTCGCAGCCGTAAATTAAAACAGAACAAACTGCCGCGCAGTATACTCGTTCTTTTATTGATAGACGGATATCTCACCTTCGCCATAGGTGACGTAAGTTGGCAAAAGTCAAACGAGCTTTTTGAATCCGTGCTGAGATTTTGTCAGACATCAACCCATTTGGGCTGATCAGACTTCCGAGATAAGTGAAGTTGTCAACGCGTTCGACTGTTTCACTCCCTTTAGTTAGGATTAAAAGGCGAACAATTGACAAGGTTCAAATGTAGCTTGAGGAAAATGAATAAATTAGTCTATCCAGAAGCTTGAATAACGTATTTGAGATTAGCATAGTACCAGCTACTACAAGTTCCAAGATTTTAATCACTAAATTATGAATATGCGCTTTGAAAATAATACATTTGATTGTCCATCAGAAATCTTCTATACTAGTTAATAAGTTTGAAAAATAAAGACTTAATCCATGGAAAGCCATTTACAAAATAGTTGTTCGTACTCTAGATCCATCACTTGACCTGAATTTTTACCCTTTCCGGAAAACAAGGCCACAAATTAACCAACAGATCACTTAAAATGAAATATATTATCTTACATTTTGGTCAATCCGAAAGTAATAATCATTCAATACATTGTTATTTTACTCCATCTCCTAATGACGATATTGATGATGATGATGATGATGATGATAATTCTTCTGTTTTTATATTTCCATTCATTGTATATAATATAGTACTTATTTCAGAGAAATACGCTGGTTATCCAATGCTTGTAGCGACTATACTTGCTGAAATATCTGATGATAAATTATTCTCGTATGGAACACAAAAATCGGAAGATCAAACTGAAAATACTGACACTACTAATAATAATTCACAATCTTCAACATCAAATAACAAAAATCGATCCAATGAAACTGTAGAGAATGCTGTTCTACTTGTTGCTGCAACAGAATTAACTTATGAAACTGTGGTTACTAGTGTATTGAATGCAGAGGAATTACGCCGTGAAAATGGTATACCCGTGTTACAAAAAGCATTTTCACAATGTTCTAATTTTTTGTCACGTACATCAAGTCGACCTGGACATATTGTAGTTGAAGTATGCGGACATATTGTATCAGTGTTGGCGGCTGCATCTCTATTTCCTTCTTCACGTCAATGTATACAAGAGACACCACAATTGTTGAAGGATACATTAAGATTATTATATTATAAAGTGAGTTTTGTTTCTAAATTTTAGTTTCGTCAAAGACTAATCAATCAATGTCCAGGGAACTTTAGGAAACTGCCTCATCCTATGTTACGATTCCCCAGCTGTACACACTAGTGGCTTTACACTGGGCCGAACATGAATATCTTCAGTTTTCGTAGCAAGCTCGTTTCATAACAAAGAAATATTCTCCAAAATCCACCTAACTGGAACGTGTTTAGCTCAAACTATGAAAATGTGACTAAAATATTTTAAATTCTAGCTGTAATCATTCTAGGAATAAGGTGTTATCAATAATCCTAGTAATTACTGCAAAAAGTAGAATTCTTCAAAAGTGTAATTTCATAGTTTGATACTTACTTGCTTACGCCTGTTACCCCCTCGTGAAGAAACATATAACGCCCACCGGTATTCTCCATCAAATTCTTTCCTAGTCAATTCTTCCCATTTGTTTCCAGTTGCTATTCCTTCTTTTCATGCCTGCTTCTGATTCCCGACGCGATGTGTTCTTTGGTCTTCCTCTTTTCCGTTTCCGTTCAAGATTTCACGTTAGAGCAGTTTGATGATTTCCAGCGTCGTTTCCTAATTTCATCTTCAGATGGACTCTGGTTTGTTTTATCCCATAGTAGGTCATCACTTATAGTATCCAGTCAACGGATATCGAGTATCTTGTGTAGACAATTGTTTATAAATAATTGTGGTAGTAGTAGTTATCCATGTTTTATCTCCATATAACACATAATTTGCTAACCACTATGTAATTTACATTTGGAATTAATATCTTACCATTGTGAATCGTATTTCATCACTGAATTAGTATTTCAAAACCATCCTCTCTACAGTCGTTTGATTTCAACAGTTGAGTACTACTGATCATAAGCTTTCATAGTTAAATGATGTTGGTTTACATTTAGGCATATGAACTCGTTCTTTGTTAATAAGTTCAACTATGGATCCAAGTACTTGGTAAAGATTGCAAATGTTATCTGAAGATACAGTTTCACTGGTACTTAGTAACCATTTACAATATTTGTCTACCAAACATAATTCATTAAATCATTGCGTCATCAACACAGTTAAACTAAAAAACAATAAAATTCAATATTTCCATTTTTTTAAAGTTCTCTTTTCTTTATTATTAATCTGTACTACTTTTTCTTGACAGAATTTACCGAAACTTTGTTGTTTAACTGCAACTTGTATAGCGTCATTTTGTATTGATTATTGGCTATGTGTAACATGTTATGAATATGGCGGTTTGTTTCTTCTCCTTCAACATGTATTGAGCTACGATTTCACACTGGAAGAAGCCGGTGTTGAAATTAATGAAGAAACTAATTCACAAGTAAGTTAATTGTAAGATGGTTTTGATTTTAATGCTGCTATGTTTATGCATTAATTAATGATCGGCAATATCGAAACTGCGGAAGTTTGTTGTACAACGAACGCTTTGTAGATCGAATATTCGAGCTTTGTTCGACATGTATATTGGCCGTTTTTACTTCCCGATGATATTATTGAAGGAGATTTTCTGTTTAAGAATATTAACAGAAAACTGTGTTAGCATTGAAGATCTTGTTGACATGGAAGTGTGATTATACAGACTATAGGGTTAACTCCTTATAAGGCTGATGGTGCACGGATATTTTGTGAAGTATTCTCGGTATGTTACCTCAATCTTTTTCAGACGATACCCTGGCACTAGGTACTGTATGCTTAAATGTGAAATGTGCAGTATTTAGAGTCAACCATTTTTAATACCTCTTCTATTTTTGAAGACAGCGTAGTTGTTAATGCTATTTATTAGTAGAACTCAACTTACCGCCATCATTCGTCATTATAGTTTACAACACCGTTTTGTCCTCAAAATAAATAGTTAAATTAAAGTGAACAATATTAATCGACCGTAGCTGTTACCTTGATCCGGTAGTCCGGCTTGCCCACCGTGTTGACTCAATAGTCAAGCTATATTACCCGGAACAATTGTTCCTTTAGATCCTATCACCCCCAAGCATGTTGGTTGGTGAACGATATGTCTAAAAGAGCAGTAGCTTAAGGTTCGAAGACTAAGTCACACTGCTGACTGTGGAGAGCTGTAACGAAAGTAAAGCGTTCACTTCAGACAAATATGATCTGTGACAATGCTGCACCTCACCTCACCCCACAGATTTCCGTCCCTGAAGGTAAAGCCTTTTAAAGCACCAAGCTAAAACATCAAAAGCCTCCCACCAAAAGACTACATGTGACCGTTGTAAATACTTTCCCCTTATGCTCTGCTGTCACTCTCCCAGTTCACTAAAACTGCCACTAACACATTTTCTTCTACAGGACCCTGAAGATAAAAGATGATTTACAATGTCATTCAAGTAAAAGATCTTGACAGTCAGCTCATAACATATTTGATGAATACACTATATTCCTCCCTAAATCTTCTGTGAAACAACAGAACAATTTCTACAATACAATGAGTATTTCTATAGTAAATTTGAAAAAAAGTGACTACATTATTAATAATTTGTAATTTTCCGTTATCGATATGGAGGATTGCAAGTGATCAGTCTATGTATCAACATTGGGTTTGCGTCACATTATGTTGAATATCAACACTGGGATATATTAAGCTGACAAGTGTCAGATAGGACGAAACTCGAGTACAATAGATTTCATTGTCAGTCATTTATCAAATAAAAGTAACTATTATTAAAGTTTTTTGAACAAAGAATAAATTTACCATGTAGATTATTTGTTCTTTTTTTTTCTAAGGTTTTAGCAAATCGTCTAGCTTTATTATCATTATGGGCTATTGGTCGAATGGTAAATGGTTATGCAACTGGTCGTGAAGTAACAGAAGATGGTTATTTAATGCGTGAAGGACCAGATGTAATGGAAGCATTAAGTCGTTTATTAACACCACATTTAGCTAGAAAAATTCTTGAATTAAATATATATGATTCAAGTCAAATTGGTCGATTAAGCAATGGAAATAATGATTCACAAATTTTACATGATTTCCCTTTGGATACATCTAGAGGGAAGTATTTACGTTCATTAGCAAAATTATTAACTACAAATTCTGTAACACCATATTTAATATGGGATAATCGTTGTAGAGCAGAATTGGAAACGTTAATTGATCTACAAGTTGTTCGTTTAATTAAAACTGTAAGTATTCTATTCGTGCATTATTATTATTATTATTATTATTATTATTATTATTATTATTATTATTATTATTATATGTTCATTTGTACACATAAATATTGGTACAAAAGGGGACCAAATACATATACTCACCACACAAGTCACTTGATTTGTGTATGAGCTGTGATACTAACCGGGCGCCCAAACTGAAGCAAGTGGTTTTCTTAGGGGGCACACCCCGAGCCTTTGACCTAAAGGTTTGATCCACAAGGCAGTGAAGCAACGTTAGGAGATGCAGTCCCATGGTAGCCGGTAGTCAACAATTGGTTCACACACTATTTGTTCCTTCAGTATACTGGAGCCCATGTGCACCATTGATTTAGAATGAGGATTTTCCAACTGCCTTAGGTGAACTCTCTGTGTCCCCTAACCCGGGTAAGCCCCTGGCGGACATTCGCGTTTCGTCCTCTGAATTTCGTAGGGAACACCCTACTGCTTGAAGGCAATGAGTAGGGAATTATTATTTGTTTTATCTGTATTCTGAAGCGGAAGATTTACTAATTAATGTGGAATTTTTTGTATAACTGAAGTTTCATCTTAATATTTTCTGGGCTTTATACATGTAGAATTTGACTTTGAGAAACTCATTTCTTGAAATTTCACCATCCGAAGAAAGTCGATTACCAAGTGATTTGAGGGCAAATTCTTAGTGTTGGATGTTTTAATGATGTGATGTGATAATAAAGTATTCCCCATGAATGATCAGAATTCTCATTCGTGCATTTTTATCATAAGCAAAAAATATGGTTGAAAACGTTTTTTCTAAAATATCTCACTTCCGTTGATGGATAGTTTTTCCGGTACCAATGGTGAACGACGAAACTTGCGGATAAATATGACTGAACGCTTGAATCGGTTTCTTAAGCGCTCTTAATAACTTCAGGCTCGATCTATAGGACAACTTGAACACGAGAGAAAAGGCGCGAAATATGGAACGAACACTTTACGCAAAATTGAAGGTATCTATAGCATTTCAGAGTGCATTTAACTTCTGGAAGATTCTGGAACCCTACTAAACTTTGTAGCATGAAAGTGATCATCCAATTAGAAATAGAACCACTGACTTCAATTTCTAGATATTTCTGAGAAACATTTGTTCAGTGCTAATTGGACAAAATGCTTCCTAGCTTTTTCAGAGACCCTCTTAGCATTCTTTGAGGAATATTCTGGATCTCCCCAGCACTTTCACTGTGAAACGAACTGAACACAAGAAAGTTGTATGTGTATACAACTGACTCAAAAAACTTGTTTCATCATACAATATGGTTATATTATAAGATCGTAAAGGTTATCAATTATAATTCAGTTTCTTTATCTCAAAGTTCTGATGAAATCACTCAGAACACTAAACAGATTTATCGAATTCCATATTTTCACTTATTTGAAAATATCGTTAAGGAATGAAGAATATTTGTGGTGAAAAGGGAACGATTTTCATGGTTTCCCATTGTCTTAACTTCTATTGTTATTTTGCCCAACATTGTCTTTTTCTGATTTATTTTGGGACAATAACAAAAGTTTTGCAAGTCAACTCATCCAGTTCAAATTACGCAATGTAATCAGTCAAAAGAAGGAGGATACTACTCAACAGTTCAGTCTATTCTACTCTGTTTGTGAAATGTGACCTTTAAAAGTGGATATAATTTGTTTTTGTTGAAACTACTGAATAGGGTAATGCTGAGTTTAGATGCAGAGTACTAGGTAAGGTTGACAAATCGGTTGATTAAATAATGAATCTTCATTGACTGAGTTGATTTGGGACATGTGTTACACATGCCTAACCACCATCTGTCTCGATGTGCAATCATTACCGATATAAGATTGAATTGTAAGAAAGCTAGGGTTCGACAAATCAAAACGTAACATCAACTGCTTAACTCATAGCCGCTCCGAAGTTCAAGTGGACAGCAATTCTGGCATACAAGTATATCCACCTAACAAACCTCAAATAGAACAAAATGATTCCACTGCAGGCCACTTTTTATCTATTCTATGTAATGTTACCTTTATCTAGTCATTTTGCTTAATTACTAAACCATCCTCTTTTTTTATTTGAAAAATAACCATTAGGGTGAATGTAATTTAAACTCTGTTCTATCATTTACTCATGAATCGTATGCTCAAGAACTATTAGTTGGTGAAGTGTTTGTCAGATTATATAATAAACAACCAGCTTATACATTAGATGTAAGTAAAGGTTTTTAATTGTTAATATATAACTGTGTTAATATAGAGACTTTGGTCGACTGAATTCAAATAAACAACCATTGGAAAATCATTGGTGTAACTATGTGTTAGTTAATAGGAGACCAACCATATTAAGAATATAGTAGTTATATATCAATGGCATTAAATAGTAGTTGCGCAGTGTGACGAGTTGTTCGAAGTTAGAAATCTGAACCATTGAATGTCAATCTAGTGATTTAAGGGTTCAACACTCTCTAAGAGACCTAATGCTATACGTTCTGATCACTGATGTGATCATGAATGTGGAGTTATGACAAGGAATCCCATACTGTAAAGAAACAGTTACTCAATGTTTCTTGGTTTTCAATGTCCTTTTGAACGATGATATGTTCATAGTGTATGTACGCTAAATTAATCATTTGTTAAGTAGTAGATTCACGATATTTTAAAGAGAATCTATGACTGGTGAAATCTAATCATGATAGGAATGAGACAGTCATCCATCAATACATAATGGGATGATTATCTTTCCAGATTACTAATTTTTATTTATTTATTTATTTTAACACATAGACATTGGTACAAGGAGGCACCAAATACAAATACATCTGTGTGAGGGCTGTGATACTACCTGGTTGTAAAGACCGAAGCAGGTGGTTTTCTTGAGGAGCCACACCCGGAAACTTCGACCTAAAGGTCTGACCCACAAAGCAGTGGGGCAACATCAGGAGATGCATTCCCATGGTAGCCGGTGACCAACGATTGGTTCATACGCCATTTGTTCCTTCAGGATCCTGGAGCCCATGTGCATCATTGGTTTAGAATGAGGGTTTTCCAACTCCCTTAGGTGGAATCGTCGTGTCCCGTAACCCGGTTAAAGCCCCTACCGGACATTCGCTTTTCTTCCTCGCAATTTCGTAAACAACACTCCCGCCACGAGAAGGCAATGAGTAGGACGTCTCTGGCAGAGGCTATATATGCGTGGCCATGTGAGAGCATTTGGAGAGGGAGTGTGGACTCTCCCTACTCTCAGCCGTACCAGGGCATTTTGGGGCTAATTAAATTAAATGTGAAAATATAGTCTATTGAATCGTAGCTTGATTGTTCTAAACATATTATTCTTCTCGTATATGTGATTATATTCTGAAACAAGTCTCCAATACGATGATGAAGAAGCTGTCTTCCAATGTTTTTGAAAAAAATTCATGCTTTCTTTTGTGGTAGAGTGAATAATGAGGAAAGTATAACTGGTGGAACTAATCTACGGATTAGTATTATAGATATTTTTATTTTATAACTAATAGATAACTGTATTTTTGTATCTATATCATCCCCCCATTACAAGCTCGCAATGGACCAACCAACTATTGTTATACGTCTTACCATTGCTCTGCTATTGCTGATTAGTTGTTACTGTTTGTTACACCCTCTACTAGTTATGGTATGAATTCAAATTTGGGGAGCGTTACGGTCTGATCATCAATGTATATAAGTTAATGTGTGTTCAAGGTAGATCTTGTACCGGGTGCTGTATTCTGTTTTTAAATTCAAAGATGGAAATTAGCGGACGAACAATACTCAAGCTTACTTTAGCTTCAGCTCAAGATTAATCGTATTGATCGGAACATATCATTCACAGAGACGCCAGACTATAAATAGAATAGCATACACGAGTTAAGAAAATTTAAGTCGGAATTCTGATTTGACAATCTACTGAGCAATATCGATTAACATCTCAGCCATAACACCACCAGCACTACTCAGTGATGACTCCACACGCGGGAGTGGAAGTTGAAATCTCTGGTCTGTCGTGGGAACGTTCAACCTCCAGAACGATGAGCCGGCATTCTTTGGTGTTAATGTTTAACTTCAGTCAACCCACTACATTGCAAAACTATCTTCAATGGTTTTCAGTTTGTAAAACTGTCTCACACCCAAAATGGTTTACCTTGAGTAGTCATGACTTCTCAATAGGAATCCCGTGTTCAACTTTCATGTGCGCGGTTGTGGATGCGCATTATTGAAAAGTCCTTTACTAGAATGAAACGGCTGTTCATTGCTTAGAGGTTTTCAATGGTGGTCTAACTTAGATCGGTTCGTGATTTCAATAAAATTCAACAATCTCTATAATCACATACTGACGATTTATTAATTATGATTTATTGTAGCACTATATATATATATATATCCAGGTAATTAAAATAGTCTTCTGACTCCGATAGATCTCAGGTGCGTCATTCTGACAGTTACTACAAAAACTAATGCATTTTCCGTTTGTTCACCTTGATTATGACAATGAATTGCTTACTGGATCTTTACCTGGTAGTTTCCAAGATCACTGATCGGTTAAATTAGTCTCAATCCTTATTTCGATCCCCCGAATAAACATTTCTTGAAGTATTGTAGGTGAGTTGTAGCAGCGACCTAAAGCTTTAGAAGAAAAGAATGATGCAAACAAAGGACTTCAGAAGTAAGGAATCGACAAAAACGCTTATGCTGATCAACACTTTCAAAAGTTTTTAAAAGTCTAGGAAACAACTGATTGTTTCCATTACACTTACCAATTTGTAGTCTCTTTTCTAAAAGCTTTTTAAATCTTAGATTCATACACATAAGCTTACAGTTACCCTTTTTTCTATAAATAGTAATCTTCTGAGTAAAATTCCTTCCATACTTCTCCATTTTGTGATTTCTATTTGGAATTAAAGTATTAAAAACCTTCCGAGGTTATGAGAGATCAATTACAAATTCAATGTTTAATCCTATTCAATTACATAACTATTCTAAAGATAAACAATTTTATTGATTTTTTTCTTACATCAGGATCCTAAAGGTTTCATCATTGATCTATTTCAATTTCTTACAAATGAATTACAAAATCTTAATTCAGAGAAAGTTTATGACACTAATCAACAATTAAATCGAACAAATCGAGTTGATTCAGAATTACAATTTATGAATAATATAAAAGAACAACATAATGATGAAGATGAAGATTATCTATCTGTGGGTGATACAATCAATATAGATGATGAAATTGATTGGGGTGTTGAAGCGAATCATATCACAAATCAATGTGTATCAAATGTTAGTTCAGCTTTAGAAGCATTAACTAATGTTATACGTCATAATACTGGTAAGTAGTTATTATCATTATGTTTGTGTACATGTTCAGTAAGTAATTACGTGAGCAGTAGCTGCTAACTTTTGACTTGGTAGGCGGGCATACACTGTTGAGCTAGCTATATTGACTAGAACACTAGTTCCTTTTACGTTTTACCATACCTTAAGCATGAAAGATCAAACAGTCCTTGTAGGTAAATGTGATAGTTATGAATAAGTATGTCTGTATTTTTCATATCTTATTTTTTAGCCTAGAAGCAAAATACACCTTTCATAAGTTATGCTATTCTTTTAGACTACTGTTATACAGTATTAAGTAACCATCATCCATTATGTACAAATAATATTTGTCGCCTATGTTGTAGGTGATTGACTAACTGGCAGTACAAGATATTATTCATAGATGCAGATTATTATAGAAGATCCCCGGACTCGATTAAGAGTGATGCTGATTTGCATACTATTTTTTTAGTTTTGAACTAAATAACCTCAATATTTAACTAGTTCTGATCGTTGTCATTGACAAGTCGTCTGTTTAGTTGACCTGTTCAAATATTTGATAGATCTATTTTCTAACATTTAAAACATTTGGATTATTCTTTCTGGTTTAAATTTATTTGATGTAAGTAGTTAGGAATTTATTTATTTAAACACATAAACATTGGCACAAAGAGGCACCAAGTAGATATACGGCACATAAATTATTCGATTTATGTGAGGGCTTTGAAGCAAGCGGTTTTCTTAGGCGGCCACACCCCGAACCTTTGACCTAAAGGTCTGACCCACAAGGCAGTGGAGCATCGTGAGGAGATGCAGTCCCATGGTAGCCAGTGACCAACAGTTGGTCCATACTCCATTTGTTTCCTCAGGATACTGGATCCCATGTGCACCATTGGTTTGGGATCCGGTTAAAGCCCCTGGCGGACATTCGCTTTTCGTCCTCTCAATTTCGTAAACAACACCCGTGGTGCGAGAAGGTCATGAGTAGGACTTTCCTAACAGAGGCTGTATACGCGTGGCCGTGTGAGAGCATTTCGAGAGGGAGGACGGGCCGACCCAACTCTCGGTCTTACCAGGGCTAATAATGTGTACCCATATTCTAATATAAGATTTACATACTAACTGAAAGATCTACAGTTCATATGTTTTTCTCATCTATCCTTTGAAAAATTAAGAGATGGGTACATTGGAATTGATTCATCTTACATATATCTATTTGACGGGTTAAAAACAAAGGAATAGTTTTAACAGCTAAAGTGGATCAAAACTTTATTGAATAAGATTGGGTAGCAAAAACTGACTGTTGGAAAGCATTCATAAAATATATTTCTCAATATTTACAACTTGAATGTAAACTAAAGAGTAGTCTGTTACCATATCAGTGCAATCAGTGCTGAGTATTTCTCATTATAACGAGATTTTTGGTATTGAATGAAATTGCTATTACTATTGTTATTAAGTAGTGTATCAGAAATCTTTTGACAAATAATCGAATCACTTACACTTATGGCTATATTCCAGCTTGATCGATAGAATTCAATCAGCATTAAAAGACTCAGATAACACAACTTCGGTCACTACTCAATAAACACTCGATCAGGGATGTCCCCGTCCTACGAAGGTTAGTCGTGTCCTGAATAGCTCAATAGTAACATATCAAATTCTGATGCTGTGCGAGACTGCTTCGAATCCCTCCGAGATCATTAGTTCCCTTAAAACTACAGATGCGCCGTAGTAACAAATGCCAACTATAACAGCAGAGTTTTATGCCTGTTCCCATCAATCATTTAACAAGACATACTATTGTAAGTCACTTTGACCAGTGACTGATTTGTAGGTTGATCAATAAAATTTGATTAGTATTAATGGACTAGACAAACATGACATTGTTCATGCCATGTCTATGCTTGTATTTTTGTGCAAAAATAACCCCTCTTAATTCTTAACATCATTTTTTTAATACATTTTTGTTCAAGTGTGTTTTCTCATTTATTTATTTATTGTTTTCTTGTCTCATCATTATGTGTCCTCCTTACTCTGTTTCTTTTTATCATTTCGTTTATGTTCTATTTGAAATCAGGTTTAGAAATTCAATGTATTGGACATTTCTCCTTACTATTCTCTATACTTGATTTACACGATCATCCTGAAGTTCAACTACGGGCTTTAGATGTAAGTATTATTTATTATTACTATTATTATGATGTAAACACCTGTTGTATATCAACATTAATTATTAGTGTAGGTGACATTCATTACGGATTGACTTCCATGGTATCTTTTGAAAACTAAGGAATACTAAGTATCTGTCTCATCCTGGTGTAGAACTTCTCATAAGTTCCAGCACCTGCAGCCCCTTCAGGGGTCGGACCTTGGACTTATAGGCTTCTCTGTGAGCGCCTAACTGTCAGTCAGTCAGTAACAACGTACAACTTCGTACGTACGTACGTACATAAATTCGAGTTGCTACACCACATTAGCATAGAGATGCAGTTGTCGATGCAAATACCGTAGTGGTAGAGGTAGTATGAGTATAAACAGTAATCGGAAACATTAGGGTCTGAAGATGTTATTCGAGGAGTATAATCGACTTGTCAGTGACTTCATAGACTTGTACCATGTTTTGGTCTGGCCACCCCTAGCTTTCTTCCAACCTACTCCTACACCACTGAACATCGCACATCGAGGTATTCGGTGGTTGGGCATATGTAACACATGTCCCAGCCATCTCAACTGATGAAGTTTCACCACTTCATCAATCGATTTGCCATCGTTACCTAGTACCCTTAACTGTTAGACCGTTAAGGTGACATACGTTAGAGAAGACTTCCAAATTCTATCCATTTTTTTATAGAATGAAGATCATCTAATGTTGTTGGTTACAACTCTTTCATTTTTAACATGACTGACTTGCATCAGTCACAATAATACAACTCCGTATATCGTATTGTTAATTAATCCGACTTCTGAAGTTTTATTAAGATGTAACCAGTAAATTCTAATCTATGTTAGGTGTGAGACAGGTATCTCTCGCAGGCAGTGGATGAGGGTTGTGCTGTATCGTGAATTGATTAAAGTTAGACATTAACATCATTGAGTCCCGGCTCTGTGGTGTTTAGGTTAGGCATTGTCGCGCATGACTAGATGTCTTAAATTCGATTATCGATTCCGTGGCCGTTAACATGCACTGCTGAGCAGTCACATACTAGGACAAGACGGCCGTTCAGTGCTTCTAGGCTGTCATTGTTGTTTCAGCTAAAGTTAGTTCGTGATTCAAACAGGAAATTATACAGTGTCCACAAATCCTGTTTACTAATTATAATCTAAAATTACAATGAAAAATTGATGGAGTAAGTCAGAATGAATAGTCCAATGAAATAAATATACCGACGGACACTCTAAGAGCATAAATCTTAGTCTAAAATAGAGAAAACCTTTCATTACGTCTCAACAGATTATATGAGAATAAAACACTTCTCATCTTGTATCTATCTAGTAACTTTAAATGGTAAACAACTGACCGATGTCGTTTAGTGATGAATACTGTCTTCAAATTAAAAACCAATTTCCCGTGCAAAACCTTTTCTATAGTAACTGATTATAACTAAATGTATATATTACTCAAATTTAGTCGTTCAGAAGAACGATTAAAGGTCCATTACCAAACCATCCATCTCAGCGAACAAAACTCCATCAACATATATTCAAAGGAGATGATCCACTGTCTCGAATCCTGGTGGATGGCCTAAGCTCCTCCACGATGGTTAACAGTTGTAAGTAAGTATAGGAGGTGGTGATCCATTTTGGACAAAGTTAGAAAAGAAAATTAGCTTTCCCACTAGGTATTTTTACAAGTATTAAACAATGTTTTATGTTGAGTGAATTTATTTCACCTTATTAAATTGAATGCTTATGGGATATCTCATTTAAATGTATGATATGATTTATATATTTCATAGGTTATTCAAGCTGTTTCTACAAATCCACAATGTCTTGAAGATATGGCTGCATCTCATTTATTAACTTCGTTAGTTATGTTGTTCTTAGTTCTTCCAAGAGGTATGTTTTAGTTGTTAACCCAACTGGCTTAACATTAGTGTCATACTGCTGTATGCTTTTTTCCTCTCTCTCTTTAACTAATCATTTTTTGTAATGACCATTAAATTCTGATTGATGTATTACCACCTTTTCACATTATAATCTACTATCCTCGGTCTAACTCATAAGTCATGCTCTTAATAGTCGACTAATCCAACTGATTCAAATGGACAAGATCAATTTATGTGGCAAACTGTACTACAGAAAAACAATCATACTCAGACTATGATAGTAGATAATAACATATTGGTGATAAGTATTATTTAGTACTCCACTCATACTCTTACATGCATCTGGCCTACTGTATTATGACCTTGAAACATTATCTGACTTTCCTATGCATTGCATTTTATCAATCTGTTCACTAACAGAAAATCATCAATCTCATTTATATCAAATAATCAGTATTACCTTAAATCTAATTATTCTGTACTAAATGAGAACTCGGTGGGGGAATCAATTTATTATTCAAAGCGAAATTACAGAGTTCTTTCGTAAAATGTGAAAAAAAAACCATAGATTGAATACTTCATATGCAAATCTTCCATCATTTGTCTCAAACTTCATCATTCCCTTTGTTTATATTCGATCTTTTCAACCTTCTGCTGATAGACATTCCACTTCTGATTGATAATATACTATTTATATCTGTCGACATAAATAGCGTACATCACAATTCTATCAGCTTATTGATATTGACTGAATGTATGGAAATACATTCATCATTGAACTTGAATAATGACAAAATCTTTCTTTCAGAATTTTTAAAAAATAAGTATTCATAAAGAAAGCAACAAATGCATTTCTTCTAAACATTTCCAGATATTTTTTTGGAGTATCTTGATCAGGTGTCCTTCTTTCTAGTCTGTTAGTACTTGTTCTTCATTCCAAATCTTGCTGAAGATAATGTGGAGTACCTTCACAGTTACTGCTACATTTGCTTTCAGTGCCTCTTCTGGAATGTTATCTGGTCCCTCTGCTTTTCCGCTCTTGGTTTGTCTGATGGCCATGCTGATCTCTTCAATTGTCGGTGGGCCAACATTGATTGGGAGGTCCGTGGGTGCTGCTTCGTTGGGGTCGGTTGATTCAAGAGTTCCTTGAAGTGCTTTACCCACCTATTTCGCTGTTCCTCAATGTTGGTAATTACTTTGCCTTCCTTGCTTTTCACTGGTCATTCTGGTTTACGATAATTTTCAGCGAGTTTCTTTGTTGTATCATACAATTGTCTCATGTTTTCTTCTCTTGCAGTCTTTTCCACCGTCATTGCCAGATCTTCCACATATTTACGTTTGTCGGTTCTGATACTCCTTTTCACTTGCTTGTTTGCCTCTGTGTATTCGGTTTGTGCCTTGGCTTTCTCCCCTCTTGTTCGGCTGATATTGTTTACTGCCTTCTTGTTTCTCCTTTCTTGACAACTATTAGCAAAGAAAATATGCTTTGCTAATAGTTGTCGATTAGAAACTGTTTGGTTATGATTGTTACATTCAGTACCGGCGCACCCAACAACTTGGTCAGGCAGACACCCTGTCACGACTTATCAACGAACACCATACGGCCGACGAAGATGCAGTTATTGCCTCCCTAATGACAGAGGACCATGTGCAATGTTACCTGACATCTGCTGTTCGTGCTTCGCTAGTCTCAGCAGCTGAAATACAATCTGCATCCAAGAACGACTCCATTATTAAGAGAGCGACGAAACACGTCGCCAGTGACTGGCCGTCAACTGGACTCGATGGTGACTTGAAGCAGCTTTACCACAGTCGGGACTCATTATGCGTCGCGAATGAGTGCTTGATGCTTGGAGATAGAGTAGAGGTCCCAGAATCCTTAAGATCAAGGGTGCTAAAGCAATTCCACACTGGTCATCCTGGTATAAAACGAATGAAATCCATCGCCAGAAGCTGTGATTATTGGCCCCTCATGGACCAACACATCGTGGATTTAGTAGGCAAATGCACACAATGTCAGTAAGCGGCGAAATGTAATCCGAAAGTGACGCCGGTCCCATGGCCACGGCTTGAGTATCCTTGGTCCAGGATACATTTCGATTTTGCTGACCCAACCAATGGGAATACCTATCTAGTCGTGGTTGACGCCTTTTAGTAATGGCCAGAAATCGTTCCCATCATGCCACCAACGACCACCCAAACGATGCAACTTTTGACGGAGATGTTCTCCCGTAACGGGCCACCAGATATAATCGTATCCGACAACGGTTCGCAGTTCACCTCAAATCAATTTCAAGAATCTTGCAAACGCCTATCGATCAAGCATTTCCGCTCTCCACCCTACCACCCGCAATCAAACGACCATACATTTAAGAGAGCTCTAATCAAGTTGAAAGGGGCGGGGACGCCAGTGGAAACACTGCGAAACTTCTTATTTGTTTACGGAACGACACCTAGTGATGTATTACCCGAGCAGAAATCCACATGGGAATAAAATTGAGGACGGCCCACAATCTGATGCTTCCGAAAACCATACTATCGCCATCACCGACCAAGTCCTAGAAGCTGCCAACATACGAGTTCAGACGTCCGGTGTTCGCTCGTTACTACGGACCAAATCATGGTCCCTGGACTGAAGCACATGTGGTCGGAAATTTAGACCATGTCATGTTCGAGATAGAGGTAGGAAGAGACAGGTGGACTCGACATCAGAACCAGCTACGCAAGCGGTTAGCCCTAGTTCGCCCATCGACAGAAGGGAATCTCCCTCTTGACATCCTATTAGATACCTTTAGTCTACCCGCAGTTCCAACATAGGAAGAAGCACATCGACAGGTCGATCTACGACCCAGAACGTAGTCACTCCGATGACGGCGACAAACGGTCAAAATGCAAGTGGACCCCGGAAACGTACGTTATTAAAACAGGTAGGTGTGGGGGATCTAACATCCCCAACAGAAACGAAACCTATGGGTTAGATTTTCCGATTGTCACAGTGGTAGTTGAATGAATAAGTGAATTCATATTTTAAATGTTTCACAGATGTGAATTATTATTTTTTTTACTCCCGAAATATTTGTTTATTTCTGATGTTGTTAAGTTCTCTGAAATAGATGGTTTATTTAGATGACGAACTAATCTAAGAAAACAATTGAAAACTTGGAAGCACTGAATAACCGTTTCGTCTTTATATGAACCTCTTCAACGTTGTGTATCTACGATCCTACCTGATAATGATTTAATCAAAGTCATTTTGTACAAGGTCATCAGCGCTCTACTTTTACTTCCAGAGCAACAATAAAATTTTCATAATTAGATTATTCATCTCAGAGAACTAAACAATACTTGAGCTATACATCTTTCTTATCAAATTTATTCTCATTATCTTATTTACTATTTCCATATTATGAAATCACTTCTATTTAGCTCATCTTGTACTTATACAAACTATGGAACATTTAATTTCTTCATCATTATTATTGAAAGAATTTATTTATGCTGGCGGTTTAATTTATCTAATGGAAATAATATGTCAATCATCACAACAACAAACACGTTATGCAACTGTAGATTTAATATCACATTGTTTAATTAATAAACAATTTGGTCGACGTATACAAGCAATTATGAATCAATATTTACCAAATGTATTTGTTGATACATTAAAAGATCAACCGGAAACATTCTTAGCGTTATTCGATGGTAAGTTATATCCAGAATGTGTATATATATATATGTGTGTATGTTTTTCTTTACTTTATTATCTAGAGAAGCAGATATTATTAATATTGTCTAGTATGCATAAATACATTGCAGAAGTTATCAAACTACACTACTAGGGAAGCCCTAATTTGAAATCCTGAAGAGAAAGGAACAAAAAAGGCTAAAGAACACATTACACCAAGGATCGGAGGTAGCCATCAAATAAATGATTAGCAATAGGAAACAATTCAAAATGAGAGTACAGTATAGAGTTGATTAGAATCCTGGTCGGCGACTTATGCTCCACTATTTGTCACTGGCGTAAATGAATGTTGGTGAGACTATAATTTATGGATAACCTTTGGGTGACCCTAAAGTGACCTTGGGAATGTCCTCCTACTTGGGTTAAATGAGAATAATAAATTAGTATGAGGAATTGGGATTTTGATTTGCACATGAACGTTAGGGTTAGGATTTTTATCACGAACTGACGTTAGCTATAATGCCAAAATGGATGAATGTATTTCACGCCATAATTCAAGACCTGTTATCTCAAATATGATTGGTTCGTCCAGTGTTGATGTGAAAGACTAAACAATGGGAATATGGCTTGAAAAGACAGTGGAAAGTTATATATGAAGGGATACCGCAATCGAAGATCAAAATGAAGATTAGGATTCAATGCATTCGCACCGTTATGAAAGATTCTGAACTATTTCATGTAACGTCTTCATCTACTACCATAACGCACACCTACAGTCACTGACTCCATGGACCATGTTGTTCCGTAGTTTGGGCATCCATATTCATTAAACATGTTCTTTTTCACTACTTCTACTTAGATCATTATTCGCTCATTTATTTTTTTAAACATTTTTCAGCTGATCATGAAAACCCTGAGGTGATATGGGATTCTAATTTACGTAGTATGTTAACTAAAATTTTAAATGAACAAACACACAGGTAATGACTTGTTAAGTTATATATTTTTCGGTTTCGGATTTTCTACTGATATAATTCAGTTCTTATGGGTTTTAAGCGGGTTACTAGTTGCGAGATGTATTTCTCTTCCTCTGAGTGCGAATCATATGCTTTAGGACTGACTGATCTACGTCAATGCTCTAGTATCAAAACAACGAATAATGTAGTTGAACGTCGTGATCCTCATTAAATTCATCTTTGAATATCATCATCGTTGATGGATAGTTGTTGACTGACTAACTCCGCTTTTACCGATTTTCATCACTTATTATATAGGTCAGCTGTATGTCTTACTGTCATCATCTTATTTGTTAACAGTCTTCTTATTTCAATGTGAAATGTCATTTTAATACTGGATCTGTGTCAATGATAAGTCTGACCATTTTTTGAATACTAAAGCAATTGAACACATCGATCACTAATGTAGTCAGGAAATTAAAATTATGCTCTTGAATCATATCCACTTCATTTTAGTTCAGTCCTACTTAACCAACTAAAGACTTAACTTTAGTCTAAACTTTTCAACGTGAAGGTTCAGTTGTAATACTAAACAAGGTTTACAGTCATATCTGAGACAGGATCTTAACCTACCACTAGGTGGTAGTTAAATTTAAGTTCTTCAATCAATAAGACACAGTTTCACTTATTTGTTTACTTTTGAATAACTGATTAATACTTTTTTTGTGACGAGAAGTGTCCAAAATTTAATACTGATACACGGCACGGTGTGCTATGCGCTAACTGCCCAATCTAACTGACTACTTGTGCGAGAAAATGTATTGGACCACCGAATAAGATGCACATGTATATACCAATTTAATCCTTAGGAAACTGATCCATTTCCTATCCAATGAAATGAACTTATCCTTTAGGTCACTTCTGATTGCCACCGACTGAACTTTTCATTAGGCTACTTCTGATTAGCTCTCCATATCATACTTCATTAATAAAAAGCATTGCTTCTTAATTGGTTTTTATTTATCTTAAATTTAATTATGGTTATTGTATGTTTGTATATAATTGATATACATAATTTGTCTAATAAATACACAAACTGTACTACTAAGCTTTTGACGAAATTTCGGAAAATTATCTCAGAACATTCATAACTTGTTGAGCACACTGTTTTTTTTTTTTTTTGAGATAACTCATTCAAGGTGGATGCGACATTCCATTGAGAGCTTATAAATAATGAATCGATCAATGTTAGACCACCTTTGAAAACCTGGAAGCACTCAATGACCGTTTCGTCACAATATGAGACTCAGCAGCATGCATCCACGATCCCACACACGGGATTTGAACCAAAAAAACCTCGATTTCGCGCGCGAACTCTTAACTTCTAAACCACTGGACCAGCATCTAACTTTGTTAATGTCCAACTTCGACCAGTCCACGATAATGTGCAGCCATCTTCCATTGTCTTTGGTGGGCAACTACCTCACTTGACACAGTCCAACTCCACTGGCCATGGCTTCTCACTAGAACTCCGAGAAATATCTCTCGAAGCTAGATGGTCCCAAGCTCGAATAAAGGAGGAGGGTTGGGCATGAGGTTAGCCACCCTATCCCGTAGCAAACTAACCATTAAAAAGCGCTAACCAGAAAAAATAATTCAAACCATTTAAACTCTGCTCTGGGAGTTAGAAGATCTTCGTGGAGGTTAACACATTTTAAAGATTTACGCTAAATTTTTGTTAAGTTAAATTTATGTCCCCTTGAGTTTGTGTATTTGTCAGTCAGCTACGACATAGGACCAGGTACATATATTCATCGGTTCAAGTTACCACACCTCATTAACACAACAAGATCAACATCGAATTCATAAAATCAGTTACTTCGATGGTATTAATATATAAAAGAAAGATTGTGTATAAGGATATAGTACAGTAAGAAAGAATTAGTTTGTGGAAAGAAAGGTATCAAGCAATTTGGGACTCATGGTTTAACGGAAGACAAATAGTATGTACACCTACACCATTATGATTGATTCTCAACCATGTCACACAAAGTCTTCAACCATTGGTTATGATAGTCACACAGATCCCAACCAAATAGTCTATGTATAGTCTATATACCGTTGGATGCCGGCTCAGTAGTGGTCTAGTGGTTAAGTGCTCGCGCGCGAAACCAGTAGGTCCTGGGTTCGCATTTCGCACGGGGTGAGGTCGTGGATGCCCACTGCTGAGGAGTCCCACAATGGGACGGAACGGCCGTCCAGTGCTTCCAGGTTTTCCATGATGGTCTAGCTTCAACTGACTCATGATCTTAACCATAGTCTATATTTATCAAATAGATTTTGTAAACTTTTGAATTGATGTTTGTTTTATTTCAATATCTTAATCATTCACACACACATTGTCTACTTAATTCCTTTTTTAATAGTTTCTATCATTCACAACTTGAAGATCGTAATATCAAATGGAATTTATCCGATTCATTTAAAGTACCATATACAGAAGTAATCGCTAAAAAAGCTAATGAAGAGAATAAAAATAAACCAAATGAAATTGCTCAATATGTTGCATGTCTTGGTCCAATTCAAATAGCTAATGTCTATTTACATTTATATATATCACATCCTGGTTGGACATTACGTAATCCGGAATTATTTTTAAATGAATGTATGGAAAAATGGATTGAGGTAAATAGAAGAAATTTTATATTTATTTGATTGATTGTTATAAGGGAGTAGTTTACATTTGTGTAAATAAACACATACTTACATCTAGATGATGAGTCTAAACAAGGATGAAACATTCATTTAGGGTTTTATTACTCAGTAAGTCAGTCAGTAACAACATACACCTTCGTACGTACGTACATAAGTTCGAGTTGCTACACCACATTAGCACAGAGATGCAGTCGTCGATGCAAATACCGTAGTGGTAGAGGTAGTAAGAGTATAAGCAGTAATCGGAAACATTAGGGTTTGAAGATGTTATTTAGAGAGTATAATCCAGTGTAATAAATTTGGAAAGAGAAAAAAAGAGACAAGGAGGATTCAAGAGATTAGAATTTAGGAGAGCACAAAGAGTGGATGCACCTGCGCTATTGCGATCGATTTTGAACCATGTGATTCAGGGTCTCTAACCATCGGTTACTATCATCTCGCGGATCGCAACCAGATAGTCTACACCTACCAACATGACTCAGTCCACTTGTCAGTGACTTCATGGAATTGTGCCATGTTTTGGTCTGGCCGCCCCTAGCTTTATTCCGGTCTACTCCTATACCACTGAACATCGCACATCGAGGTAGTCGGTGGTTGGGCATACGTAACACATGTCCCAGCCATCTCAACTTATTGCTAACCACAATCTATCTATTCTATAAACCTGGGAGAATAAATGTTAGTGAAACCGTCTACTGTTATTACTGCTATCCGATTCTCTAAATTGAAGGAATAGATACCTATGATCGAATACTCAATGTATTCTTTGATCTCTAATGTAGTGTTGCATTCAGTTCACTAAATGGGAATATCGTTTTATGAAAAAAAAATTATTGAAGAGTTTATAAGAAATATTTTCGTTTTTGTAGTACACAATAGTTTTAATTACAAAAATATGTCTGCCTTTTTGAGTGGATTGTTTTCATACCGTGTGAAATCCACATACTTACTTAGTCAGTCGATGAGGTTGTCAATCTTCATAGACTGAGATGGTTAAGCCACGTGTTACATATGCCTGAACACTGATTACGAAGACGCGCAATGTTGACTAGTATTGGGAATGGTTGGAAGAAAGTTAGGGGTGGCCAAACCAAAAGGTGGCATCAGTTCTTGAAGTCACTAACTTCTAGTCCTAGCTATACTGGTAGATGCAGATTACTTGGTTGGAGTCCGCGTGACTATCGTAACGAATAGTTGAAGACTCTATGTGACATAACTCAAAGTCGATCACAATGGGGTAGGCGTATACACACTTTGTCTTCCCCTAAACTAAGAGATTAAAATTACTTTACGTCTTTCTTTCTACTGGCTAATTGTTTTGTAGTGAACAAGAACACGGGTGGGGACAATCGACTGTATTTAGCACAAAAATTACAGACTGTCTCAATAAAATGTGAATACCATAAAGTCAATCGTCAATTTGCAAAATATCATTCCATCATATGAAACTGTACTGTTCCCGTTGCAAACACTAATCCATTGTCTCCCATTCCATTGTACATGCGTTTTCTTACAATTCCATTGTGCTCTTGCTCTTCCTTTCTTGATCTTCGCCATCTTCTGCTGCCGGACATTACGTTCTTTTAACGCACGTTATATACTACTTATATGAATATAAGTAGCTCACACCACACTCGTCCCCCCCTTAAAGCAGTCGTCCTTGTGGTGGTTCATGCTCGCCGTGCAACATTCTCCGTCTCTGCAGTCTGTGCCACGCTCTCCGTCAAGATGTCGAGTCTGCGGCGCGCCGACTTCCACAGCTCTGTCGACCTGCCGTGGCAACAACAACCCGCATCCACCCGGCACCTGGGACGCTTGACATCCGCACTCCACCGGCCTGCTGAGCCATCTACATCCGATGTCCGCCCAGCAGCCGCGCGTCCCGACGCTCCACTCCGTCGACAGCACCCGCTACAGCCAACGCAGCCCCGCCAGACGCCACCTCTCCGCACCAGACTGCCCCAACTGGCACCTCAACTCCAGGCCCGCAACGGCGTCCGCAGAACAGCACACTCCTCCTCCCTGGTTGGCAGCGACACCAAATGTAGTGAACAAGAACACGGGTGGGGACAATCGACTGTATTTAGCACAAAAATTACAGACTGTCTCAATAAAATGTGAATACCATAAAGTCAATCGTCAATTTGCAAAATATCATTCCATCATATGAAACTGTACTGTTCCCGTTGCAAACACTAATCCATTGTCTCCCATTCCATTGTACATGCGTTTTCTTACAATTCCATTGTGCTCTTGCTCTTCCTTTCTTGATCTTCGCCATCTTCTGCTGCCGGACATTACGTTCTTTTAACGCACGTTATATACTACTTATATGAATATAAGTAGCTCACACCACAGTTTCTTTCTGTATCATATCGTTATATGAATTCTATTTTTTACTACCATCGAAGTAACTGATTCTATGAATTCGGTGTTTATCTTGTTATTCTAATGAGTGAGGTACGGTAACTTGAACTGATGCATATTTGTGCCTGGTCCTACGCTGTAGATGACTGACCGTACTTCATTAATGAAGTTATACTGAGAAAAGTCTATAATCAAATCATGAAGTTACCCAATATACATTAATATAAGGAACAATTAGTATGATGTATTGTGTTATGTATAAACTGTAGAGATTCATTTATAGATAAATTCTTATGGTTATTTTGATTTGTTTCATCGGTTAGCATTGAATATAGTTACTCAGATGCATTCACGTATTATCTCCTTTTACAGCTTTCCAGTGCTATTTCATACATATTTTCTTTTCATTTCGTTTTCTCGAAACATACATTCAATATTTAGTCATTTTCATTATGAATTACTTAGTACTATTGTAGTGAACGAGAACACATGTGGGGACAATCAATTGTATGTTAATACTAAATTACAGAGTTCTTTCATGAAATGTGAAAACCATGAGTTCAATACTTCATTTGCAAATCGTCCATCAATTGTCTCAAACTTTATCGTTCCTTCGATTCGATCTTCCCACTGTTCTGTTCCCAAGCATTTCACTTGTAATTGGTGTTATGTCGATATACGTGGCATACACTAAATCATTATTTCGATTACTTTACTGTTAATCTCATTGTACTGATTGGAATATAAAAACTTGAGCTGATACACATTGTTATCATAGAAACCAAATTGACTATGAATAATTTGTATATTTTGTAATGAGTATTTAACAAAGTTATTTTTTTATGTTAACACATTGTGGTGCGTGCTACTTATATTGATATAAGTAGTATATGACGAGTTAAAAACATAATGTCTGGCAGCAGAAGATGGGGGAAGATCAAGAAAGGAAGAGCGGAAACACAATGCAATTTGTAAGAAAACACATGAACAATGAAATGTGAGACAATGGATTGATGATTGCAACAGGAACAGTCCAGGTTGATATGATGGATTGATATTTTGCAAATTAACGATTTGCTATATGTTTTTTCTATTTTACCAAGTAACTCCGTAATTTTATGCTAGATACATTCGATTGTCCCCACCCGTGTTCTGTTCACTACAACACTACTCTAACTGTAAGGTATCGTTTAACTCATCTCTCTTGTTGCGATGTATTTTTCTAATGTAGGTCTATTGATTCATTACAATAATACAAGTTCAACTGCATATTTGGTTTATGGCTGTATATGAATTGTAACCTGGGAGTTGATAATTGAAAGCTGATTGTCACAATCACTTAATCCACTTTGTTGACATACTTTCAATGACATAGAAATCACTTTTTAACTGTATATTTTGTTTTCTTATTAAAGTACAGTTGCAATACGTCCTAAACTATAATGCATTATCATACTGATTATTATTTCGCAATTCCTATCCCTGTATCTCATATCCGTTTTTGCTATTTTCTAGGCAATACATCAATTACCAAATTCAACTTTATTAGTTAGATTATTAACTCGAGCATGTAAAACTGTACTGACTGATCGTCCTGGTCTTACGGATTCTTTGCCTCGATCTGGTAATGTACATAGAGTTTTAGAATTATTAGCAAAAGTCGATGATCCAGAAGGTGCTAAAGCGATTGTCATCATTTTACATCAGATGTCAGCAAGTAAAGTAAGTTTTAGTGGGATATATTTTATTCTTAATGAAAAGCTTTTACAAATTTTCTTATTTAGTCACTCAAGCTAAACAGTTATTAAGTGAAACATGGGAGTACAAGATAGTTGTGTTGTCTTAGTATAAAGTAGTCTTAGATACATACTGCTAATGAGTCTCGTCATAATAGAATCAATCAGTCAGTTGTCCAATCCTCCCTGGTTTCCACAATATAAATTGTCTTGTAATTTACTTGTTAATAATAAGTTGACTGACATCACTTCATAGAAGGTTTGATAGTAGGAATAAAATGAATATTAAGTAACGAGGGGATTCGATAATAGTGTAGAGGATCACGAGTGCTGTTAGAGGTATGAGGGCTATTGTCAATTTCTGGTTGCCCACACCATCGAAGGATATTTCTTATTGGGGAGAACCTTAGAAAGAAACTGAATTATTAGTAGTTTTAGCGACCGTAAAAAATTACTGTTAAGCCCTTGAAACAACTACTTGAGACCGGTCATACACAACTTTTCTATGAGAAGTTTGTGATGTATTAGCTCCGTACTTCAGTAGGCCTTGCCGCCTTCGGTGGAAGCCTGTGGGGTAAGTTGAAAACTGGCATTTCTGAACCTAACCTTCACTAACCTCATTTTCCTGTTGTGAGGAGAAAAACTGTTGACTGCTTTCCACCCTACAGTTCTGCAACCAGCCTACCTGGCATGGTACGACCTAATGAAACTATTTACCCGACCGCTATAGCTTGATTAAGTCATTACTATAAACAAGTCCATCTACGACGTCAAAATAGGAGCCACTATCAGGACCATTCAGTCACAACCCACAACCTGGTATGTATGTACATCAATTCGAGTTACCATACCCTATCAACATAGAGATATGAAATCGTCAGGCCAAATCCCAGAATAGTAGAGGTTGTAACGAAATGAACACTGATTAAAAAGATTAGCCATCGAAGACACGATTCAAGATCTAAATTAGTAAAATAAAGACAAAAAGGGTTATGAGGAGTTTGGAATCTCAAAATTTGGAGGAAGACAAAGAATGAATGCACCTGCACTATTGCAAACGATCTTGAGCCATGTCATTCAAAGTCTCTAAACATTAGTTAGGATAATCACGTGGACTCCAATAAGGTAGTCTATACCTATTAACATTTATAAGTCTAATTGTCAGTTACTTCATGGACTGATTTCCTAGCTTTCCTCTAGTGAACTCCTAACACTAAATAACATCGCCCATACAGGTAAGCGGTGGCTGGTCGATGGAAATTTACTACCTCTTTAATCGATTTTCTATTCTTACTTAGTCCCTTATTCCCAAACCAGACTCAGTGGTCTCAGAATGCACTAGCAACGCTTCGAAGACGCCTATAAACGAATATTGATAACCCACGAATATCCTCTTTCCTTAGCGGCCATACTCATACGGTAGGAAGGAGCGAACTACTGTGCAGTTAACATATCCTTTGGTTGTCAGAAGGGTATCTCGCCTACGCCACAAGTGACGCAAGTTTGCAAAAGCTAACAACCAGCACCATTATCTTCCTTTTTACATAGAACGCGATTTCTATCACCCCATCATTTAACAAATTTTATCAGGTAGTTAAAGGCATTCGAGAAGAAGCTCAATGTCTATGTTTCACTCTACTTTTTACTTGTCAGTATGACTAATGTTTAGGGAATTGATGTCTATTTAAGTGTGCTGCAGTCATGAATGCTACCACTAAATTACTTGGTCTGATGGTGACTTGTGATATAACAGAAATGTTTACTTAATAACCAATCACTAAGTGTTATTCGATAGCATGCACTTTAAGGAATAAAAAACGTGGCACTGTAGTTCTATAATCACACTACCCTACTTTATAAATCATTGCTTAGTTACTGAGTTGTATTGATATTTTCTTGAATGTTAGAGGGAGAGCTGTATTTAACAATACACGAACATAGCAACATCGTGTGAAATATCATATACGAGCACTGATTATCCATGAAGCAGAATAATGTGTCGTCACTGTTATATCTGTACACGTAAACAACCATGGAGATAAATTCGATTAAGAAAATGTCGAAATTCTGGATTCAAGAAATTGTAAAAGTATCAGGAAGTTTCTAAAAATATGATATTCAAATGAGTTTACAGTCCACGTGTGATGTATAGCTGAACAGCGATTACCACGACGCGCAATGCTGTCTAGTGTTGGAAATAGTTGGAAGAATGTTAGGGGCGACCAAACCAAAATGTGACATCCGAGCTTGAAGTCACTAACCTGTAGTCTGAGCCATACTGGTAGATGCAGACTGCTTGGTTGGGGTCCGAGTGACTATCCTAACGAATAGTTGAAGACTCTGTGTGACATGGCTCAGAATCGAACACAATGGCGTAGTTGTATCTTGAGTGCTGTTAGACGTATGAGGGCGGCTATCACTTCCAGATTGCCTACACCGTGGAAGGGTTCTGTATGTACCTGAAAAGGAAATAGGATTTGAGGTGGTTTTAGTGACCCGAGAGCGCGACCGCAGTGCAGAAGGGACAAGTGCTTAAGGTCGGTTACACACGACCTTTTTATGAGTGCTTTTTGTGTTAGCTCCTTATTTGTTGAGACCTTACCACCGGAGGCTGATATTTGTGGGGTAAGGCAAGGTGTGCATTTTTAGGGTCAACCTTTTCTAGTCCGACCCCTTCTTGTGGGATAGCAGCATCGCTGTCATGCTGGTTGTCTGAAGGAAACACCTTTCTGACGTCACACCTCTTTACAGTCAGCAGTACGATTTCGTCTTGGGTTTGTTACTTTTAGTCTTACCACTCTTCAACCGACATGTCTGGCATAGTTGTTGTAGCTGACTGACTGACTAAAATTAATTAAGCTTATCAACGTGTCTCTGGTCTACTAATCTAAACGAGAGAAAAAAAGCCAATCAACCATATGATTCAAAGTCAACTAGACATGACAATCCATTTGAATATGAAGAACAAATGAAAATAACCAATTACATAATAACAATCACTATAACAATTTGGCTTAAGACACATGGACTGAGCTCATCTCTACGTGAAATAATCAACTATGAATATGATCCAGAATAATAATGAAATATATACGCATTGACATTCATTAGTGTATTCATTGTGTATTTGTTTGTTTGCTTGTATTTCATTTCTTTTAGTTATGTGTACAATCAATGTCAGAAAGTAATACAATTAGTGGTTTAATTCGTATTGTTAATCGTTGTATCGGTGAAGAATTAGGTTTAATTGGTGAAACATTATTTTGTCTATTTGATACACAATATTCTGATCCATTAATTGAACAAGTAAGTAGAAGATTTCAGATTATATTGTGTTAATAATTTATTCTATTGTACTTTATAAAAGTTAATCGTTATGTTTCAGGTTCGAGCTCTGTATTATCTACTCCCATCTAAACATCTACTCGATTCAGATTGAGACTAAAGCAAGTTATAACAATTGTTGCGAACTGGATAATAAAAGCACCCGTAACACAGGTGATTGGAGAGCATACTGATGCCTACATAGAGGTGGTTATGTGCATCGTGCTGTAGGTTACTAGTATTCGATCATAGGTGTCTTCAAAACATTGCTCGTATATCATGGGACCATCGAGTAAGTAACACAGTTGTTAGGAAACGGGTACTAGGTAAGGATGGCGAATCAATTGATGAAGTAGTGAAACCTCATCAGTTGAGATGGCTGGGACACGTGTTACGTATGCCGAACGACCGACTACCTCGACGTGCTATGTTCAGTGGTATAGGAGTAGACCGGAATAAAGCTAGGGGCGGCCAAACCAAAACATGACACAAATCCATGAAGTCACTGACAAGTGGACTGAGTCATGTTGGTAGGTGTAGACTACGTGGTTGGGGACCGCGAGATGATAGCAACCGATGGTTGGAGGTGTTGAATGACATGGCTCAAAATCGTTTGCAATGGCGCAGGTGCATCCACTCTTTGTGTTCTCCCAAATTCTAATCTTCTGAATTCTTCCTGTGTCTTTTTTTCTCTTTCCAAATTTATTTCGCTGTATATTACTCCTTGAATAACATCTTCAAACCCTAATGTTTCCGATTACTGCTTATACTCTTACCGCCTCTACCACTACGGGATCTGAATCGACAACTGCATCTCTGTGCTAATGTTGTGTGGCAACTCGAACTGATGAACGTACGTACGAAGTTGTACGTTGTTACTGACTGACTGACTGCATCGTGTCGTTATCCATAAGTGGCATTTTGTGGACTCAACAACCGGAGTGCACACAAACAATATTGAAGCTACATGATCGAGACTGAAAGAGTTTTTTTGAACTTATCATGGCTCCAGTGGTCGACTATTATGGAGTCATATGGATGACTTCTTCTATCGTATACATTATGATTTCAGAACCTCTGAACCTCTTTCTAACACACAATTACAGAATCTCTTAGCCAAATCTGAGAATCATACAGTAAATACTTCATTTACAAAATGTCAATCAATAGTCTTAGAATTTATTGTTCATTCATTTCCATACCAATCATGCTTTGTTCTCGTTCGCTTTTCTTCAATATTCTTCACCTTCTGCTGTCAGATATTTCATTTTCAATTGATGATACATACTACTTATATCCATAGAAATCAGTAGCACAAATCACAGTATGAATTCATTTTGCTTCATAATTTCTTATCAACTGTTCTCACAACTCTGTTCATACTAAAATGTCACATTGACACATGATTATAATATGAACTTAAATGACTATTGAAATGATATTAGATTAGGAAATAAAAATTGATTTAATAATAACTAAAATATAATGAAATATGACATTAGTTTAATGAAGTTATTTATTTGAACACATAAATATCGGTAGAAAGGAGCGCCGAATCCATATGCGCACCACACAAGTTACTTGATTTGTATGTGGACTTTGATACTTCCCGGTTGCCCAAACCGAACCAGATAGTTTCCTTAGGCGGACACACCCGGTGTCTTTGATTTAAAGGTCTAATCCACAAGGCAGTGGATCAACGTCAGGAAATGCAATCCCATGGTAGCGGGTAACCAATAATTGATTCATACGCCATTCGTTCCCTCAGGATCCTGAAGCCTATGTGCACCATTGGTTTGTAGTCAGGATTTTCCAACTCCTTTGGGTGGATCCTCCATATCCACCCAGCCGGTTACAGAGACGGACATTCGCTTTTCATCCTCTCAATTTCGTAAACAACACCCCTACCGCGAGAAAGCTGCGAGTAGAACTTCCCGAAAACTTATAAGTTGGATGTATTGATCAATGTAGAAGTTGTCAAGAAGTTAATATAAAATTTAAATATAAAAGAGTGATAGAGTGAGTGATCAATTGATAAGTATTGACAATTCATAATTGACTAGATGAAAGTTTTGAAGAGTTTGTATAAGTTTTGAGAATTAAACAAGCCCACTAGTATAAGATGGCCGTCCAGTGCTTCCAAAATTTTCAATGATGGTCTAGCTCAGGTCGACTCATGAATCTAACTGTTAAAATTAAGCAAATTTTAAACAGATGAATGAAATAATCGTGATAACGATGATTGCATAACAAAATAACCACTAATAGACTTTTTTGATTGAGATCATGAGTCAATCGAAACCGGACCACCATGGAAAACCTGGAAGCGCTGGACGGCCATTTCGTCTTATCGTGGGACTCATCAGCAGTGCGATCCCGCTCGTGAGATTCGAACCCAGGGCCTTCAGTCTCATGCGCGAACGCTTAAACTCTAGATCACTGAGCCAACCGGCATCTAACGGTGTTAATGTCTAACCTCAACCAATCCGCGATATTTCACAACTATCTTCCATTGTACTGAGGTAGATACCCGTCTCTATCCAACACGGATTAGATCCACTGGTCACGGCTTCTCACTAGAATTCCGAGAATTCCCACATGAAGCTAGTCACTTGTGAACACATTGTACTTAATAAAACAACGACTATAATAATAGTAATTTATTTTAACTATTCTGTTTTTAACATCTATCAGTTGGACAATTATCTTCAGCTTTCCACTTTTTCATCTCTTTTCAGTAACGGATTTTAAATTTATGACAATCATCATGATTGTATAGCTTAAGTAAATGAAATTGTCGAAAAGAAAACTTTCTTCTCTGAACTGCTTTTTTCCTTCTTTAATTATTGGTGACTTGAATTACAGTTACAATCCAAATAGATTTCTTTTCGTCTACTTAGTTCAACTCACTTTCATTAAGAATGTAATACAAAACCATAGTACGATCGCCACTTGCTTCTACTCTGAACGTCTCAAGTCACTGAACTGTGAGGTTTTCAGTACTTTAAACAAGGAGTTCTGATGTACCGACAGATCCCTTATTCCTATACAGCTACCTTTCACACCATGGTGACATTTCACAGGTTAAACACTTCTCCGCTTTTTCCGCCTCGTACCAGGGTCAGCATTTAGTGAACTTTTTGAAAACCACAAGGATGGAATCCTTGAAAGATGCTCACGCTACTGGAGTCGATGATATAGGATTGTGATACCGATTGAATGATCATCACTATGCCTTAATACACATCACTAAACTTCAGTATAACTAACATGGTATTGGCATTGGATGTCAGTAATCTTTTGGAGACAACGATGACTAGATAAAAAGCATTGTAAAACATTCTCCGCTCAAATTGGTCAGTTTTCACAAACATACAACAAACTTTCTCTTACTTACGCGTTGTAAACTTGTACTTTTACAGTCAAACTGACATCGCTACATTGTTGAAGATGGTATGTAATGGTATGACTCCATCTAACTTTTACTATATCTTTGACTAATCTCATTGTGCTAATGTGGCATGGCTTCTTGAGTCAACGCACAGGTTCTATGTTGATGATGACTGATTAACAAAATAAGGCAGAAGTACATTAAACTTCAAGCATACAAGGTGAAATACAAAAACTTTACATTACCTCACCATATGCATTATGCGACGAAAACACTGTTGAGAAAATATATTGTCGATATTTAAAATGTGTGGTCACCAATTGTAAACTTAACTGATTATATTGTTGTGGTTATTTGTTGTTCATTCTCTCTCTCTCTCCTCTATTTTTAGGCTTTAAAACATGATCTTATCGGTTTTATATTACGTATGCTCCAAAATGGTTTCCCATCTTCAGTACGAGAACCCGGACAAACTCGAGCCTATCTCATAAAGGCATTAAAAGCTATGCAATACAGTGCTATATATGGTGCTAAGGTAATTGTGATAATGTACACATTTTAACAAACTGTATATATACCACTCTGTCGAATAAATGCACGAATCATGGTTAAGATAAAAGGGCTTCATTTGACAAAATTAAGAGTATATCTTTCAATCTTATCCACTTCAAATTACTGGCAATTTATGCAGAATTCTGTTTTACTATCTCCGTCTACTGAATTCTCGGGCTTTGATCTCCTTCCAAGAGATCTAATTATCGACTTAGAATACGCAGATGATATAGTCCTGTTCGGTCAAGACGCTGATAAAATGCAGAGTCTCTTGGTAGCACTAAACAACAATGCCAGGATGTTTGGGATGCGTTTCTATCCTTCTAAATCCAAGTTATTGCTTCAGGACTGGCCTTCATCAACACCTGAACTAAGGATAGGGAGTGAAGTAGTTGAACGCGTTGACAACTTCACGCATCTTGGAAGTCTGATCAGCCCAAATGGGTTGGTGTCTGAAGAAATTCCTGCACGAATTCAGAAAGTTCATTTGGCTTTTGCCATCTTACGTCACCTATGACAGTATAAAAACGAGAGATCTTTTACGTGTTTTTTCATCAATAATAGAGTTCAACGTTCTCGTTTCTTTTCTTTTATATATTACAACCACTAAATTAACTATTTCTATGAATCCGGTGTTAATCTTGTGATAATGGGGTATGGCAACTCGGACCGATGCATATATGCGCCTGGTCCTACTTTGTGGCTGACTGACTGTTTCCATTGTACAATTGATCACCGATCGTTACCAGAAGTTCGACTTTTGAGATGTCACATTTCTCGACCCTTAATATTTTGTTAGAATGATGTACACAGGAAATTTTCCTCGAATTCATTACACTAGCAATCATTCAAAGTGTATGATAACAAGAGGTCTTTTACGTTTTTTTTTTATCAATAACCGAGTTCAACTTTGTTGTTTCCTTTTAATAACTTCTACGGTTTTCATTCTCCTCATTGAATCGTTTCATGCAACTTAAAATAGCTTTATACTTTAGTGTATTTCCTCCCCAACTTCTTCTGGATTCTCCGAGAGTTTTTCTTAAGTTTCACCAACAACCTTATTAGCACAATTTGTATATTTAATAAACAAATCATATATGACATTGATGATCACAATACTAAACATGATAAATTGAATTGTAGTTAGATAAGTATCAACTAGTGAATTATATTTCAGTAATCGAAGATGCTCTAGATGAAGAATTTAAAGAAATCCCCGATACCAATAGCTTTATAAGTCTTTGACATTTGATTCTGACTGCAATAGTTTTAATGAACTTACCTAACTGAAGGTGCTCGATCATGCATCCACACCAGATCACGAGTGGGTACGCTATCCTCGACCTCTCCTACAACCATTAACCAGTTTAGATCAATCACTTCTCTATATATCGATAGCCTATCAAATATATCTTCGAATCTCCGCTTCTGATTTCACTGGGTTAGTAGTACGTTTCGATTATAAAAGATGTGTTACTAGTTAAAGTGCTGTCGAATTCCAAACACTTGTAGAGCATCTTGATCCTACTTATCTCCTTGATATTTCTCCTCCTTTTGTCTTTTTTTTTTTAAAGGTGACTTCAATTCTTGAAACATATCCTATTTGGGCAGATTATCGAGATCAAGGTCATTCTTTATTTATTGCTAATGTACCACAATCAATGACAACATATTTAACAGCTGGTCCAGCATCAGGTAGTTTACATAGTGGATATTTAACAACATCACATGAAATAACTCCGTCATCTTTATCAAAACCTTATTGATGAAATAAAACAAAATAAAATGATCCATTTCATCATTTATTCATTCAATTACATACTTGTACTCAGGATAATTAATCTCCATTGTAATTAAGTGAAAACAATCTCTTTCTCTCTCTTTTTGTTTTCTTTTTGGAATCATTTATTACTATTCCTACATTACATAAACATGAGTACACATGCACACACACACACACACACTGAATCTACTGTCGTGTATACATGTTTTTACAGTTTGCTCTTCAAATGTCTCTACATAAGTGTGATGGTATTCATGCTGATGTTGATACTGATGAGGATGAGAAGGAGGATGATGATGATGATGTTAGTACACTTGTAATTACTGATGATATATGATTAGATAGATATTCATGATTTCAATCATTATGTAACACTAGAAATTCAATCCCACCACCACCACCATTGTTATTATTACTAATTTGTATTATTTTAATATTCAAGTTGCTAAGCATTTTTCTTATGAATTATGATTAATATTATCATCATCACTCAATGTACAGAATAAAGTAAAGTAGATAAAAGGAAATTAAATTGCAATTGTGTACGTGTGTGTATGTGTGTGTGTGTAGGAAGGGTGTTGTTATTGTTTTGATATTTTCTAAATTGTAAAACAAAATGTACTTTTAAATCATTTCAATATTCTTTATAATAATGAAACGATTGTATTTATAATATGTAATAATAATAATAATAATATAATCTCTTTCTTACGGTTATAACCCAGCTATTCCTATTGCTTAGTATTCTCGGACACTGATTCACTCGATAAGTTCCCCCCACATTAGAACACGGTTGAATAGGAAAAGAGATTATATTCCAACTAACAAGGTTAGATGGAAGTAAGAAGCACAATAGGGAAAACGTTAGTATATTTATAGTTTTTCACATGAGAAGATTTCTAGAGAGCTTCACTAAGTATTGGCTAACGCTGATTGGATAAGAATTAGCCAATCAGCGTTCAACAAAGCAATCGTGCATTGAGCATACTTTAATCCAGTCTATGTCCCGTTAACAAATAATAATATGAATATGTTTAAAGAGTGTTTGTTTCTTTGTTACTTATTACTGTCTTTAGATTAGTCCTTTTTGTAGGCTAATGAAAGTGGATGTTAACTATTGAAATGGATTATTTAAAGATTCAAGTAGACGATTTTGACTGGACGAGTATTAATTTATTTTAGTAGTTAAGAATTACTTATTTATGCCTGTTACTCCTCGTGAAGGAACATAGGCCGCTCACCAGCATTCTCCATCCAACCCTGTCCTGGGCAATCCTTTCCAGCCCCTTCCAGTTGTTATTCATGCTTTACATATCTGCTTTTATTTCCCGACGTAATGTGTTCTTTGGCCTTCCTCTTTTCCGCCTTCCTTCAGGACTCCAAGTTAGGCCTTGTTCCATGATGCATTTTGGTGATTTCCTTAATGTATGTTCTATCTAATTCCATCGTCTGTTCCTGATTTCCTCTTCAGATGGAAGCTGGTTTGTTCTCTCCCACAGTAGGTTGTTACTGACGGTATCCGACCAAAAGATGTTGAGTATCTTGCGTAGACAACTATTTTTAAATACTTGTACATTCATGATGATTATTGTAGTAGTTCTCCACATTTCAGCTTCTTACAGTAAAAGTGTCTTGACGTTCGTACTGAAGATTCTGACTTTGATATTGATTGATAGTTGTTTTCAGTTCTATATGTTCAACTATAGGAATGCTTTCCTCGTTTTGTCAATCCTCACATTTACATCTGCATCAGATCCTTCACGTTAATCGATGATGTTACCCAGGTACGTGAAGGATTCTACATCTTCCAGAGTTTTGCCATCAAGTATGATGGCGACTACATAGTATTAATCCACCTTTTCACTCGGTATTTCAGCCGATGCACTCAGTTCATGATAAATGACAATGACTAATCGCATGGTGCTACCGATACATATATGTATTTCACTCGACCTCGTATATCCATTGTGGACTAATCAAGTGAATACAACATGGAGGTAAAAGCTCGAGTATATGAGTATGATGGATTAAGTTGACCAGGCTAAATTCACAATAAAAATAGTAAAAATTTATAAATTTAGTCCACCACAGTGCAGTTAGAATCAAAGAATACGTAAACGTACTTCGTTAATGGATATAGTTAGCCGATAATCTTTAGTGTTTTCTTTTAGTACATAAATGTGGTCGAGTTACATTTATTTTTACAGTCATCAAAGTAGCTATAATATCTGATTATCACGATATGGTGATTCAGATTCTGCATTAAGCTCAAAGTACGACTTCAATTTATGCTCTGATGTAGCACCATTCCTCTTCATCTGTAATGGACTTCCTCACCCACATTGGTGATGTATAGTCAGTTAAAAAAAATATGCGCTCATGATATGTTATATAAATGTAAGTATATCCTTATCAGGATACGAAATTGAAATTTTTGAAACGACAGCATTCATAGAACATAAATCGTATGAGTTTATATCAGGTTCTTCTCACTAGTTGTCATACTGAGTTTTATTCAATTAATTTTTTGTCAAACGTAATCAAAAAATTTTACTGAAAGACCAGTATTAATATGTGTGACAGAGTGTACAAAATACAGCAGACTTTCGCTCTCCACAAATACTTGAAGTGCATTTTACAAACTGGAAGTTTAATGATTTGCATTTCTCAAACTTTTGTTATATCCTTACTCAACAAAAGTGTCATTTTCTATTCGAAGTATCTGTCCTAAGCCTAACATCCGGCAGGTTACTTTTTTGAATTTGTTGTATGTATGTATGCACGTTGTCTTCCTTTCACAGCAATAAACGTTTTCTTGGATCTGTTTAACAACTCTACTATTATTACTCTAAATTCTTTTTAATTATAGAAAGTATGATGCTAACATTATTGAAAATTGTGTATTACTGCATTTTTTGAAGAAACCCGAAGTGGTTTCTTCACAACACTTATGTACCCATAAGATGTTTGTGAATAATAATAATAATAATATAAATGTTGATGATTATCCTGCCATCCTTGCTTAAAGGGGATTTTCTTCTTCATGGCCGGAGTATAGCAGAAGCTCCCCTGACGCTGGTCGCTGTTGTCCAATTGCGTCCAATGTGTTTCACTGATCCCAAGCACCTCTAGGTTGTATCTTCTCATTTCTGCAGCAATTTGGAAGACTCCCCAGGTCTCCCACATTGTACGAACATTCTATGTACCTAAATAAATGGTTAATCTGGTTGTCAGAAGGGTCATCGGCCACGTGACTTCCGAAGGAACTCAGCTTTCATCATGAGGCGTCATAGTTCTTCTAAATGAAAACCTTCTGACTCCCGGGGCAGAGTTTAAAAGATTTGAATGATTTTTTTCCAGTTAGCGCCCTTTAGTGAGTTAGTATTCTACGGGATGGGGTCGCTAACCCCATACCCAACCCTCCTCCTTCATCTGGGCTTGGGACCGGCAGTAGCCCCTGGAGGGACTCCAGGAGGAGTTATTGCATGTAAACATTGTTATCGTGAAGAACGAATCTGTTTGTTGAGGATTATATCAATACATATCTCATTTTATTTTCTTTCTAGCATGAATAATCAATTTAGTAGCGTTCCTACTATATTTCAAACAGGAAGACTGAAATATATCTGTGCAATATGTCAAATAACAAATGGTTGACCAACAACACGAAACATCCACACATGTGTAATGTTCAAAACTTGTGTGTTATCACTCACATAAATAACAGAAATTAACATGAATTTTAAAGTATCGTTATCTGTACATGGAATAGGATATCTCATATAGATATTCGGTGAAAATTATTTCCAATTTTCTGTTTAATTATTCTATGTGATGTATGAAAAACACAAAACATTTTATGGCAGGTCATCTATTTCCACCTTCATATTATGATTAGAAATTGTTCCATGATAGAATATAAAGGCTTCAGTGGATATGATCCATCCGACGAAGTAAATGTTCACGTTTCTTATGGCAGTAGGTCCACAGATATCTCAGAATAAAACTAGTGAAAACAATTTTAAATCGGTCGACATATATTTGTTGATGTATAATATAGTGAAGTTGAAACCTGCTACAAATCACAGCAGTGAAGACCGTGTGTGACCATTATTGAGATGCGTAAGTTGTTTCACAATAGTTCGATTATCGTTTCATAACAGTGAAGTTACTGTACACAGTTTGACGTAATGAAATCATCATGAAAAAGGAAGATAGCACTAGTTTACAGTATAAAGTATACATTTTAATGATGATATTGGAGCGAAATTCACGGAGTAGCTTTGCGATAGTGAGCGAAGATATTTTCTCCAAAGCTGATTTTCAGATGCAAGACGATCTTAATTATAAGCCGTAATATATTTATAAACAGACGTTTCACATTTCGTAATTAGAGCAATTTTGACGCTTGATTTTGAGCAAATCAACCAATCTCCATCATCTTAAAGAATGGTATGAAAATGTGTAGCATAATGGTGACGGGTGCGATGCATATTCACTTGAATTGTAGAGCGAGTGAGAACATAAATGCTTATGATTTGAATGAAAACTGAGTAGCATGGTATCATATTATGGAAAACGGTTAAGAGTGTGTGATTGAACACCTGTGGAAATTTCATACACATAGTTCCCTTTATCATTTTGAAAAGAGCAAGAACAAACATTCTAGCAGAATAGCATGAATTCATTTTTATTTCGTTGGTTCTCGTCAGCTGCTTACAACCTGTGATATTTAAGAATCATAATTACATAAAGGGTTTAAATCACTTACATGAAAGAGTTTGATTGGACGTTATATTGAAGACATATTCGTATAGTATAGCAAGGGTGTAAATAAATTTAATAGACTGAATATTGTAAATATATACCTTATGTGATGAAGGAACATTGTGACAACAGTTCAAACGGTTAGAAACAAGTAAACATTGATAGGAATAAAATGAGTAGAGTTCAGTTGATAGAATAAGATGGTTGGAACAAAACTCAATGGTGTGATAAATGAAAGAAAGAGTTCAAAGCAAAGAAGAAATATTAAGATATAACAAAGGAATAATAATCACCAAGGCAGGGAAAGATTAATAACCATCTCCTTTTGAACACATAAATCAGGCTTTTGGCGCCTGATAGCAACTACTTCAGCAAACTTCAGAAGACTGGAGTTTGGCTGCTTACTAATCACCTTGAATGATTGCAGGGTATCGATCTGATGTCCTGTATCAAGAAGATGTTTGGTGATTGCACTATTTAGAGTCTTTCTTCCTCTTGTTCTGAGGCTTTTTGGAACATGTTTAAAAAATCTGAGATATGCCCCCCTTTCTGTTCGGCCAGTGTAGCTGCTTTGGCAGGTACACGTAAATTTATAAATACAATTGGCGATAACATGAAAAGAAATGCTTATCAACCTTTGATTGAGTTACTGAGCATGTTGTTTTATACAGAATTTGAAGTTTGGCCGCCGGAAATGATGCATTCAGAAACCTGTTGCATTATTATTGTGGATGTCGATTGTGAGTAAACATGTCATGTATGCAGTACAGTTCCAAAACTAACAAAGAATATTTGGAATGGAACTCTCAAACAGAAAAGTAACGTAAATGTCAAGTATCTGCACGATAAATACAAAAGTGAACAAATTGGAAACAGTCATTCGTCATATCACCTGTACACACAGAGATCGAACTTAAAATGATTAACTTTAAAGTACTCCTTTACCAATACCA